TTCAATGTCTCTGTCATTTCCTGGGGACTTATTCCCTCAGGCTTCGAAGGACTTATTCCTTCGTCTTCCCGGGGACTTATTCCCGCGGGTTTCGGGGAACTTATTTCCGCCGTATTTGTAATCTTGGGACTTATTCCCTTTACTTCCTCTAGCTGGGGTTGCGCAACCACAGCGAGATCCTCTACGAAAGACTCTCCAGTCGATCTAGGATTATCGTTTCGCTTAACCTGAGCGATCGATTGTTTCTCTTCTAGATGTTCCCCTCTAGGGATACATCTTTGTCCCAGTCCACCCGACTTATTCGAGTGGTGGATCTTCGGCGCAGCCTGTGTTTCCTCACAGCCGCCGGAACTTTGCTCCGAAGTGCAACCGTTTGGTACACTAAGGTTTTGTGCAGTCGTACTAACGACCGTACCACAAGTGAGGCCATCGCACTCACTCGTAGTACATCCACACGCTTGTGGACGCTCCAAAACGTTCATCAGATGGCCATCTGATGAACAAGCGGCAGGCATCGTTACTGTCCGATGTTGCCAGTTTACCCGTGGTTCGTACCTTCTGAGCCACGGTATTCCAAGGATGACATCAAATTTGTCATCCAAATCCAATACGATAAAGTCATCGTCATATTGGGTATCTTCTAGCGTATAGCGAATCTTCACTATACGCTTCATGACGGTTACGGATGCGCCTGTCGCAAGACGAACCGTCATCCTCGTAGGAGGTGTGTCACATTCACTGAATTTAAAGTGACCATCTTCTAGCGATTGGCGTCGCACAAAATTGTTAGACGCCCCACAATCGACTAGAGCTCGAAGGGACAACTTATTCGTCACTTCGAGTTTCAAGATAATGAGTGAGATCTCATTACCTAGAGCAGCAACGCACAACGTCTGTGTGTTGGGAGCAACCTTCATCAAGAGGCCTACAAATTCTCTTGACGTTGCTGGATCAGTAGGGTGCTCCGCACCTACTGATCCTGTCCGTTTTTTGACGGTCCATCCCGTTGTTGCGTCTTTGCACCAACTGCGGACCCTCGTCCCTGCCCCTTTCTCATGGGTGGACGGTCACTACGCCCAGTGTCGCGAGACACTGGACGAGGGGCACACTACACTCGTAAGCGTAGTGTCCTGTCTTTTGACATCTGTTGCATCTCTGCAACTTCTTGTAGCCTGTAGAGCGAACCTTCTCGCTCTCTACATAACAGAGTTCCATCGGCTCTGGACCTCCGTTGTCATATCGTCTCGGTTGACGATATGATGTCGAGCTGGCGCGAGCCTGTATCAGACTGAAGTCTTCCTGCTCCGCAATGGAAATGGCTTGTTCTAGTGAATCTAGTTCAAGCCGGAACAGGTGAGTCTTGACGGGACCATCCGCAAGACCCTGCATGAACACCGAAACCAACGTGTGTTCATCCACTGGATTGGAACTTATACAACTCGTAAGATGTCGTATATGTTGAGCGTAAGCGTGCACATCACGCTTACCCTGCTTGAGCTTCAAGAGTTCGGTTCGAGCCCTGAACTCAGCTCTAGGCGGTTCAAACGTTTGTCTGAGCCGCGACTTGAAGACTTCCAACGACCCAAACGCATATGGGTCGTGCAGCTTGAGCCCCAGTGCCCAAGTCTTGGCACGTCCTGCCAGATTTGACTGGGCAAATGCAACTTGCATATCCCCGTCGTCGATGCGACGCGCCCTTATGGCGTCATCCAATTCGACGAACCATCTCAAGAGGGAGTCTTCTTCGACCCCCCTATACTTTGAGATGTCAATCTTCAAAGTCTCGGGTCGACGCGAGTGCATCGACCCGCCAGCAGCAGCTTGCTGCTGTCTCAACAGTTCAAACTGTTGAGCACCTTGTTCTCTCAACAACTCTGCTTGTTGAGAACCTTGTTGGTGAAGCAAGGCTACTTTCTCGCGTTCAGCGTCAAGTTCATTTTGGATGAACTTGGCGATAGTAGCATGTTGGGCGTCTCTATTGAGAGCCTCTAGCATGACGCTAACAGCATGGATGCCCATGGTCGAACCCATTCGTTCAACCGCATCCCATTCGACATCGCTCAAATGGGAGTAGCCGTCACGCGTAGCGTGAAAGCTTTGGTCATCTTCATCATCCAACATATTCATGTTGGATGTGAACGCGGTCCTTGGACGGACTACGAAGTGCTACCAGGTGTAACGGGGCACCCTGAAGCTTGTACTGGTGACAGTACAAGCTACTTATTCTGATAACAGAATAAGGCGGTGCCTCGTAACTTCACGTACACTCGTACGTGCAGAGGAAGACGGTAAGAAGAAGCGAGTACTCGGTTAGAGTAAAAGTAGAACTGTATTTATAATAGTTAATGTCTGCAATAAATCACTATTTATCTTCATCTAACTATGTCTAAATACAAATGTGTAAATCAGTTATCTGCTCACCACTCATTGCGTGCGTCTGTCGTGGCGCGTCTTCGTTGGTTGATATAATGGCCTATATCAACCAATTAGGAACTACTTGGAAGTGCTACCGAATATTGTCCTTATGACAATATTCTGAGAATATAACTCTTATAGTTATATTCTATTAACAATTTCTTATAAATTGTTATGTAACGATTCACCCCGTTACATTGGGAGCAACCTTCATCAAGAGGCCTACAAATTCTCTTGACGTTGCTGGATCAGTAGGGTGCTCCGCACCTACTGATCCTGTCCGTTTTTTGACGGTCCATCCCGTTGTTGCGTCTTTGCACCAACAGAGGACCCTCGTCCCTGCCCCTTTCTCATGGGTGGACGGTCACTACGCCCAGTGTCGCGAGACACTGGACGAGGGGCACTACACTCGTAAGCGTAGTGTCCTGTCTTTTGACATCTGTTGCATCTCTGCAACTTCTTGTAGCCTGTAGAGCGAACCTTCTCGCTCTCTACATAACAGAGTTCCATCGGCTCTGGACCTCCGTTGTCATATCGTCTCGGTTGACGATATGATGTCGAGCTGGCGCGAGCCTGTCTCAGACTGAAGTCTTCCTGCTCCGCAATGGAAATGGCTTGTTCTAGTGAATCTAGTTCAAGCCGGAACAGGTGAGTCTTGACGGGACCATCCGCAAGACCCTGCATGAACACCGAAACCAACGTGTGTTCATCCACTGGATTGGAACTTATACAACTCGTAAGATGTCGTATATGTTGAGCGTAAGCGTGCACATCACGCTTACCCTGCTTGAGCTTCAAGAGTTCGGTTCGAGCCCTGAACTCAGCTCTAGGCGGTTCAAACGTTTGTCTGAGCCGCGACTTGAAGACTTCCAACGACCCAAACGCATATGGGTCGTGCAGCTTGAGCCCCAGTGCCCAAGTCTTGGCACGTCCTGCCAGATTTGATTGGGCAAATGCAACTTGCATATCCCCGTCGTCGATGCGACGCGCCCTTATGGCGTCATCCAATTCGACGAACCATCTCAAGAGGGAGTCTTCTTCGACCCCTCTATACTTTGAGATGTCAATCTTCAAAGTCTCGGGCCGACGCGAGTGCATCGACCCGCCAGCAGCAGCCTGCTGCTGTCTCAACAGTTCAAACTGTTGAGCACCTTGTTCTCTCAACAACTCTGCTTGTTGAGAACCTTGTTGGTGAAGCAAGGCTACTTTCTCGCGTTCAGCGTCAAGTTCATTTTGGATGAACTTGGCGATAGTAGCATGTTGGGCGTCTCTATTGAGAGCCTCTAGCATGACGCTAACAGCATGGATGCCCATGGTCGAACCCATTCGTTCAACCGCATCCCATTCGACATCGCTCAAATGGGAGTAGCCGTCACGCGTAGCGTGAAAGCTTTGGTCATCTTCATCATCCAACATATTCATGTTGGATGTGAACGCGGTCCTTGGACGGACTACGAAGTGCTACCAGGTGTAACGGGGCACCCTGAAGCTTGTACTGGTGACAGTACAAGCTACTTATTCTGATAACAGAATAAGGCGGTGCCTCGTAACTTCACGTACACTAGTACGTGCAGAGGAAGACGGTAAGAAGAAGCGAGTACTTGGTTAGAGTAAAAGTAGAACTGTATTTATAATAGTTAATATCTGCAATAAATCACTATTTATCTTCATCTAACTATGTCTAAATACAAATGTGTAAATCAGTTATCTGCTCACCACTCATTGCGTGCGTCTGTCGTGGCGCGTCTTCGTTGGTTGATATAATGGCCTATATCAACCAATTAGGAACTACTTGTAAGTGCTACAGAATATTTGTCCTTATGACAATATTCTGAGAATATAACTCTTATAGTTATATTCTATTAACAATTTCTCATAAATTGTTATGTAACGATTCACCCCGTTACAACATCGATCCGCACATGAAGTTGGCTCTGACTGCCAACCTTAAAGACTTGTGCGATTGCAGCTGGCTGCCCGTCACTTATCATACTACCCGAGAAAATGCTGCAGTTCTCACCGATCCATTTAATTCGTCAGGCTCCTGTTGCTTCAAGCTGACATGATGTTTGGCGCAACAGTATCAATGGATCGCAGCAGCTGCCAGTGATAAAGCGCTCGCTCGTACATCCTGCTGCTGTTCTCCTACTTAGAACGCACACTTCATCCACCACGGTTTTAATACGGTTGACCAGATTCTTTTTTTGACTTCCAAACATTTGACTGGCACAGTGGACGCAAATGAGCAGTACCGATTTGTCATCGCCTTCATCTACAAGTACTGATTCTAGCTCTACTGGTGCCATTTATAACCCAGCGGTGTCTACTCCCATCAATTAACGCTGTAGCCAATCAGAAGGTTCCTACGAAGAAAGTTACTTTCAAAATGTGCAGTGGCTGCTTATGGCACGCTGCATTCCAACTGCTACTTCAGCAGCCCTATTCCCCAACTGAATCAGCGATCAGAAGTACTTTTTCCATAAATCAGTAGTGTAGACGTCGTGACAACTGATTCTGCAGAAAAGGTCCCTCTAATTTCGTCTATTTCGACCAATCGCCACTCGCCCTTCCTCTCATTTTCCATCATGAGCTCGATCAAGCACGCACTGCTCGTTCTTCTTGTGCTTGTGGCGCTAGCAAGCGGACACAGCAGCCCAAGAGCCGACACTGCACCCAATAATAAAGTAGACAATGATCCGGACCATCAGCTTATCGATTCAGTGACTTCTCAAGACGCGAAGGCGGTGCAAGAGGACGAAGTCAACGACGTCCAAACTGTTATAGCGACCGAGACGAAACTTTCGTCCCGTATACAGCAAATTACCGAGCCAGAGGAGCCAAAAGCCGACAAAAAGATCGCAGACGATGACGTGGACCATCCTCTGGACCTGCCCAGTGGTCTCTTTGAAGTCGTAGACGCTGACAGTGTCGACACGCGCACGCGCCAGAATTACGCGTCACTGGACGCTGGAGCAACGATTCTGGACGCTGCACCAGATACAAAAAGTCCTACGAATGTACTGGTACCAGATAAGGACCGGTACATGCTGACGCCGTGCTCGAATGCACGTAAATGGGTCGTTATCAGCCTTTCTGAGGATGTGAGTGATACTGAAAAGAGAACGTTGTGGGTGAAGGTCGTTGAACGTGTTTCTTTTCGTTCTTTGCTCTGTTATACTGCTGCAGGTGCACGCAGACGCTATTGCAGTTGCCAATTATGAAAAGTTCTCGTCGCCCGTGAAGGAGTTTATTGTGCTGGGCAGTGTCAATTACCCGACTGATACGTGGCTCGTTCTGGGCAACTTTACAGCTGAACATTCAAATGGAGAACAGATTTTTCAGCTTGACGCGCAGCAGCATGTGCGGTATATCAAGTTTCGCATCCTATCGCATTATGGATCGGAGTACTACTGCACATTAAGCCAGCTGCGGTGCGTACTACTAACGTCGTTCGTCGTGTGACGAGGACTAATATACATTGCCTCGTTATGCTGGTTGTGTTGCGGCAGGGTATTTGGTCGGACATTTACGCAAGTAATCTCGGAGCTGGAAAGGAGTATTGACGCAGAAGTCGAAGCTTTGGATGCGCACGAGGCAAGTGCAGCACCACAACTGCCTGCTTTACCTGCCAGCACTGAAGTCTACGTCCCTCGTATCTCAGATCCGACGGAGCTCATGAGCCAGTGCTTGATGGAAAAGAATAACACTGTCGTTGCTGTATTCTATGATAAGTCTCAGCAGATGGAGCACTACCGTAGTCATGGAATGTGTTGTCTCGTCGACTATACTCCAGAGCTGATTGAAGCTGGAGCTGCTGCTAGTTTGAATGCTGATGAGCATTTGCTTACTATAAGCCACGACCCCACCGTTTCCGACATTGTCGATGACGGCAGAGTTCCCGTTGCTGGCCCTGATTCCAGCACAAAAAACGAGTCGAATGTCTCGGTGACTCACGATTCTGATATTGACGCCAGTACGACTAATGGTGGAGCCTCATTGCTGTCCGCTACTCACAGTACTGCGGTATCATCGACACAAAGCCTTGGTCGGCTAGAAAACATCTTCGTGCGTATCACTAAGAAGAGTAAGGGTAGCAAATGTGCTTGTGGTTACCACAGTACCTCTTTCTGCGTCAAAGCGAGTGTCTAATTGTGTATGCCTTGTGTTATCAGTTCAAGCTTTGGAAGCAAATCAAAGTGTCATGGGAAAGCAACTTGATGAAGTTCATACGAATCAGGGGGCAGCTATAAAAATGCTGCAGGTATGGATTATATGTTTTGCTGGTCAAATGTACGAGTTTGGTAACGTGGTGTCTGATGGTGTTTCATCTGTCCGTTGTAGTCGAATCAAGAAACGTTGAACGAGCAGTTAAAAGAGATTCGTGCCACGATTGTGAATTTGGTAGGCTGTGATATTGTTTTGCACGTCGTACACGCACATTTGATTACTGATGCTGTTTCCAGAATGAGTATGTAGCAAAACAACTGTCGACGAACGAGCAGACCCTGTTGAATTATGATCGATTGCTTGATGAAGCCCGGCGAGACAATAGAGCTCTTTGGGTAAGTGAACAAATTTTCGGGAGGTTTTGTCAAGCAAGTGTATGTTGTAGGTGCACTCACCGGGTGGTTGTACTGTATGTGTTGCCCAGAATGAAATGCTTATCGTACACGAGGTCATCACGACCATGAAGGCAGGCATTTTTTGTGCCATCGTTCTGTCTGGATTCATCATTTCATTCTACTTGCTTCGGCTCTTGTTTCGATGCGTTTCCAAGTGTAAGGAGCGCGCGGACCTTCGAGAATGGTTTTGGCGTATGGAAAACCATAAAAATAGCGTGAACGATTCCGTCAAGAAGTCATCAGCACGCACCATGTCTGCTGGAGCTTTGCGTGTGGATCGGAAAGCGCACTTTGGCTCATCGTGGGATGATTCAGCTATCGAGCGGAAGACTCTTGTTAGCGACATGGTAAGTGACAGCCAGCGAAAGTTTCGGCGACACCATACCAAGAGATTGAGTCAGGCGTCACTAGATCTGAAGAGATTGAAATAGCACGAAAGTGCTCGTACAAGTAAAGTCGAATTGTTTACACATCACTATCGCGCTCTTCTGTCTTCATGTAGTTTCTCACACGATGTGGGCTGAAACATGACACCTCGTCTGATTTTGTTCACGAAAATAGTGCTTGACCGATAGAAAAATAAAAAAAATGCGGCATCAGCAGTAGCGCCATCACGATATAGAACCGCAACCTTGATGAGACCATGGACTGATTGAAAAAGTGCAGGCTGACGCAGAAGTTTAACAACGAGCATCTTCGGCGAGATGCAAAGTATAGTAGATTATGGGGTATACACGAACTTGCAAGAGCTGCTGATGTTTCAGCACGGCAGGAAGCAATTTGAGAGCACAAAAGGGGACCCAGGCCTCATATTAGAGAAACACGACTTAAATATTCGTTTCCTTGTCTAATGACACGAATGTCATCCTGTAGGCTGTGGAGTAGCTTATTCGTAGAACTGTGGGACTCCTGCAACATATAATGTAAGGTAGACATTAAATACATTACATAGGGTATATACGCACTACTGAAGACGGAAATCTTCTCCAGCTTGGTCAATTTCTCCCAATTTGCCTCATCTCAACTGCATCTCCTTTGTTATTTCTTCTATTCCGTCACTGCCGATATGGGGAGATGAGCACTTTCGTCTCCTTCAATAGAGTCGATTAGCTTATCAAGGAGAGTCAGCCACAATTACACCGTGTGACTAAAGAAGAACAGCAGATGGCTACGTGTCTCGGACCATGAGACACACCCTCAACTAGATTTACAAAGATCGGGTGAGAACCTGTGTGAGTGGTCTCTAGGGCTATTATTCTGCAGGTTTTAGCTTGGGGGTCGAACAGAAGGGGGTGGTTCTGGATGAGGTCTTTACTTTTAAATCCTTCATTTATTGACTAGACTAGAATGTTTCTGGTAAATATATAGCTTCATGACTTTTGAAATATATTATCATGCAATAAAATGGTAAAATATCCCATGTACGACGTTAACGCGGCGACGTGCACCAAAAACGTATTAAGTGCGATCGCACTTAGTACGTGCAAGGTGCACGTCACCGCGTGATTTACTGCCAGACAGCCACCCACTTTGATATGTACGGTTTTAAACTTCGGCATTCAGCTTGCGCACAGCACTTATCGCTTCACCCTTCGGGCTCGCAATTATTGTTCGCTATATTTGGTTTACCTGTCACCTCGAAATTTAACAAAAATGTTCATTATGGGATATTTTACTCTTGCTCACATCCATTCTCTATTTGGCAACGCGGTCTGTCTGATTACGAGCCATGCGACAGTCGAGAGAGCGAAGAAAGGGGGAGGGGAATCTTGCGATTCAGAAAAATCATTTTGATCCGCTTGTCCCGTCTGAATCTATGAAGCGTCGACTGAATCAGACCCGAATCAGACACATGACATTTAAAGAATGGAGTTCCCTTACGTGTCAAGCGGCTGGACGAACGATGCCGAGAAGGCGCTTGCGGCCAGTGACCAACGCTTGAAGAGCCGCACGCGAGCGAAGCGGTTATACCACCGAAAGCGCGTAAGAGACGGTTGCAAGTACTGCCTCTGTGGACGGTTGTGAACGTGTAGCACTAATTCGTTGTGATTATTCAATTTATTGTTGGCTCAAATTGTATTGTTGTGGACATTTTGCATTTTTCGGATTGGGCTCTTTTCGTATCGTGTATCTGATTGGGAATATCGTGATTTTTCTGGTTGTCAAAATGGTCGCTATTGTTATATTGTTGTTTTGTGGTATTGTCGTTTTATGGGATTGGTGTATTGGTTTTTGCGCTTAGAATTTACTTGATGAGCTTCAGCATGATGTGGAGGCTTTGGAGATCGAGTACAACCGACTGCTGTCCGTACACCAGGAAAAAGATGCCCATCCGACAACTGAAGGTCTGGTCACCGACTCGAAAAGTGCTGTCCATCGCGCGTACGTGCAATTGGCACAGATGAAGAACGCGCTGGTCAAGGAGAACGAGGAATTGCAGCGTCTGCATGCCATGAATCTTGCAATGGAGCAACAAGTTGAGCAACTTGCAGCAGCTCAGAAGAAGAGTCAGTTGTTGATGGAACAAGAGCAAGAATACAAGCGGCAGAATCCCGAGCTCAAGGTTAATCCATTGTCCCAAGCCCAGTGTGCCGAGATTGCGCGGCTTTCGTACCTTGAGATTCAGGCATTTCGAGAAAGCGACACTTGCTTTTCCACCGGAACGAGCGTGCTTGGCTGGCGAGATCGACACGTGCTGCGTCAGAACAAACTCATGTTTTCGCTCGAGAAGACTTTCCACGGACGTGCGACGGACATGATGGCTCGAAATATCTGGGAGATCTTGTCGTTGCCTGAACCCGTTATTATTATGCGTCCGCGCGATGCCAAAGTGCACTTCCACGTTGTCCAGCGACTCCATGAGGATGCCGTTGTCTACTACTACACTCTAGAGCGCGAAGACACGGATATTCGGATCCGAGCGTTCATCTTGGCCATGCGGGTCGACCTTGGACCGGAAGGGTGCATGGTCATTCTGCGCAGCCTCGACCCCAAGACATACCTTCAACAAGACGGCGACTGCACAACTGCTCCAGTTCGCCGTGGACGTCGGAAAGTGGAGCCGCACAAGGAAAACTTCTGGCTTGATGTGTTCGTGTGGAGCTTTTATGAGTACGCGGGCGAGCATCTTGAGGACTGCAAGCAAACATTTGGTGGCGAAATCGAGGGCACGACGCTCGCGACTACAGGATGGTGGTCGATTGAGATACTCGAGATGGCCCTACGCATGGAAAGCCGAGGGATGGGGTCGTGGGGGCTACTGCAATGGTAAGCTGGGCTACGCAAAAGGAGTAGCAGATGAACATGTCAACCCAATGTCGAGAGCAGCATGTAACCAAGCAGAGTTGATGCGAAACACGTTGAATTCGCTCTACTTTGGCCCCCGGTATTGTGCTCGGTTGTGAGCTCAGTGATCGACTGCTTGATCTGGGTCCATACGGAGCTGCGACGACATGGCAGACTGTTTCTACACGTTGTTTGTTACTGAAGTGATGAGTGGAACGCTATCCAGCTGAGAACCTTCTGGGTAGGAACAAGCTGTGTAAGTTGGCTCCTGACAGCAGCCGCCATGCAGATGCACCATTAGCGGATGACATTCGTACAAGCTTCAGTGAAAGATGGTCGGTTCAGCTCACACAGCTATAAACTTCCACTGGTTCAGCGTGACGTGATACAATCAGTTGTGCCAACATGAGTGACAAGCCGTTGCGTTATCAGCTTCAGTCAAGCTTTTGCCAACTCCCAACCTTCCAGCGAAACCAATGAACAGTTGAGACGGAACTAACAGCAGCCACACCACCACCTTCGCATCATCTGCGCTTTGTTCATTTGTTAATTGCCCTGCAAGACACTACTTCCTACACTTAAATATGCGCCACGAACCGAACGAGCTTCAGAACTCCCACTGCTCTCTTTGACCCACTGCGTCCTGCCAACGCACGACCCCTGCAACTAATTCCGTCGCAAACCCATGCAGCACGCGCTCGGAGTTGTGTTGACTCGAAGTGCCAACAATGACCTCGCACACGGGCTGCACGTACTCGTTGTCGTACTTGTCCAGCAACATGAACCACGCCAACACGGGCAAGTACTTGTCCTCTTGAGCAGCAAAAGCTTTCTGACCCAGTGACATTGGCACGGATCGCATGCTCACGAGGTAGCCCCCATCAATCTGACCCCGTGCCAGCACGACGATGCTGTGCACTGTCGGAGCATCATGAGCTGGTGCAATGCCGACACGGACGACAACGCAGTCGTCGTTTATAGTCTGCAGAACAACCAGGTCCTTTGTCAACGGGAAGAGCTTCTGGAAAGTTTCCAACGAGGTCAAGAGCTGCCACGTGTTGAACACGAGGTCGCCCGAGACAACACCCGGTAGATCCTGCGTCAGCATGAGTTCGAGGGCGTAGCGGTCCTCGGCTCCCTCCACTTTGCAAACTTCTCGCTTGTCTTCACGCCAGCCAAGAACCGACGACTCGGCAGTGGCGTCCGTGAGGTCTTGTTTCTGCTGGGACTTGAGCTTCATGATGTCGCTGTAGCTATCTTTGACCCAGTTGAAGGCTGCATCGCAGGTCATGGGCTTGGGGAAGAGCACCTTCAGGTGGGACGGCACGGCCTCCGTCTCAATGCAGTACCCCCCTGTCAGCGTGTCCATCTTGCACTGCTTGGAGACCGAAGGGGTGCTGTCCGAGAGTGCATCATCAGCTTCCACACGTTGACGCTTGCGGCGCTTCTCTGCTTTAACAACGGTCGGAGGTTCTGACCCATCGATCACAAGTTCCGTCTGCACTGCTTGGAGAGCGCTGTTCTGCGAGTCGAGCTGGTCCAGTTGTTCTTCGAGGTAGCGTTTCTCATTGCGGAGTTCGTCCACGGCCTTGACAAGGTCCAAGTACGTGGAGCTCCCTGGAATACTGAAGCTGAGGTCACTGCTATCATCTTCAGAGACGACGGTTTCCACACGTCTTCGATGGGGTAGCACCTCATCGGCAGTAGCTTCAGCATCTCGTAACCCAGTGAGCTCGCTCCGACGATTCAGAAGGGCATCCACCGACTCGCGCATCTCGCGCACTCGACCTTTAGCTGCATTGGTCCGTCGTCGCTCGTTGGCATTGTGGCGTTCCCGACGTTGTTTGGCTGAGAACTGGGACGTGCGACCGCCCCGTTGCGTCATGAGAGAGGAGGCCTTGACACTGCTTCTGGCTCGACGAGAGGGGTTGCTGGCTGTCGACGAGCGGGACGCCAGGATGGTCGTGTTCGTGAACACTGCAGCTGGAAAAGCTCTGACTTCTTCCAGTACTTCTGGGTCCCGACTCTGCTTTGACTTGAGAACCTCTTGTTTTTCCCTTGACGGCACGTCGTGGCCAGTAGGGAGCGGGTAGATCTGCTGGTGGGTGGCACCTAGAGGCGTGTCATGGCCGTCGGTGCTGTTCAGGTCGTGCTGGTGCTTCGATCCGTCTAAATTCGGATCAATAGCTGTGAGGGGGAACTCGAGCAGGTCGAGCAAGAGCGAGTTGGTGCAGCTCGGACGAGGGTCCGGATTGGAACTCGCAGCTTGTTCAAGAGCTGAGGTGAAAGTGGCGGGTGGGGCTGTGGATCGGACCCCAGTCGAGTCCTCGTGGTGTTTCGAAGGCGTTGCAGGCAGGTTCAAGTCCACGTAGATGGGAGGGATGTAGCGGTGCAAGTAACTCATTCTACTGCGCTACGAAGGAACGGATCGACGACTTGAGTGGTGCAAATGGCTAGGGACAACTCGTTGTCTCGCTTTTTTCGATCGCCTTGTGCGTGAGAGGGAAAGGTTTCAAGTGCCAACCTGATCAAGCGAGCTGATGCTGGTCTCGTGGCTCCTCTTTGACCGCAAGAAGAAGGCGATGGTCAAAGAGGGACACGGAGGAAAAAGAGAGCGAGACAAAAGCCGGACCATGCTTTGGATACACGACTGAAGCGCATCAGGAGGTTGATAGATTTATTTCGCTGCCAGGTGGACGACACTGTAGTAGTAGTAGTAGCTAGCAAGCTAACCACCAGTCCTTCTCCACCTCGTCTACCCCCGCTACTACTGTCTCTGTGTCGATTCAAAGCGCCAGCGAGTCTTTTGTTTGCCCAGCTGCGTCGATGGGCGAACCCCTCCGGCTATGCTGGACGCGGTCCCATGGTTGTTTTGCAGTGATGGGCAGCGCTTCCGGGCCCTTTTTCTATAGAGCTCGGACGCGTTCTTCAAGTGTTCGTGACAGGGTCAAACCCTTTGACTTGCTCGATCGCAAAGCCTTGGAAGTGCCGGCACGCAGCTTCGGGAGGTCAGGATGAAGATATGAGGCAACCGGCTTTCAGCGATCGTTTTTCCAGAGCAAAGAAGGAGGCAGCTGACCCGCTCGCATGCAGCAACGTTACGGTGAAGAACCGAGGCGCTGGAACGGGATGTTTTACCGGGATCGCGGGCTCCTTGCGAGCGGGATCAAAACGTTCTTGACGCTTGGCAAATCTTGGACAACTTTTGACACAGGAACGGAATGTCCGCACACGAATAGATCCACCAACGTGCGGTGCTGCGCTACGGGTTTCAATTTTCTTTGGTCGGCATGAGCCTTTCCTGCAGCAGCTGTACGGTGTGTTTCGTGCACTGCATGTAGATTCCCGACAGTGTCACTGCCGACCGACACGGTCGTGTTTGTTGCTGGAAATTTGACCGAGTTGCGATGTTAGTAGGGAAGACGCTGCATTCAGAGATGTTGCAAGTAGCTAGTGACAATGAGGTACAATGTGATTGCTAGCACCATCTCGGTCATTGTTAGCCGTGCTTGAGATTGTTGGACAAACTCTGCTTACAATGACCTGCTGCAGCGACTTGGTCGTGTAGCGACAACTCAATGGATTGGGAGCGAAGTGCGGATCATTTGCAGAGGCAAAAGCTTGCGCAACTCGTTGGTAAAGACGTCCGGACGGTCAAGGACTGTGGGTCGGACCGACTCACTCGTGGAGGCTGATCCGGGTACGACCTGACTCGTGCAAATCCTGATCTCAAGTTCCTCCAGCGTGGATTGAGATCAAATCCAAGGACCAGGCGACCGATGACCGACGCCTTGAAGCAAAGTGGCTGTGGACCTGCTGTCGCTACTGATGAGGTTCCATACGAAAGTCGTGGAGGTACGAGGTATAGCTGGAGTCGCGCATTACTTACTGGTACATCTACAGGTTCTTGCTTGATCACCGCTTGCTTCATTGTTGCTGTCAAGGAGTGAGCCCATGAAGATCCATGTCGATCACCCAGCTAGTCTCTTGCACAACCGCGTTTTCCACGATCTATCCTGAGGTTGTCAACAGTTGGATCGCTGCAGCTGAGGCGACCTCATGTGTCAAGAAACCGCGCTGTTTCAAACGAGACCAGGGCACCAACTATGCAAAGCCGGTTCGTCCAGTGGAAAGAAGTGACAACGCTGGCCGCTCGTGTCGATAGTCTAACAACGACCTTCCTTGGACGTAGTGCAGCTACGGACTTTGAAAGTGCCATGCAACTACGTCGTACAAAAGACTGCTGAAGCTGTGCTGGCAGAGATGACACAAGTTCGATAGTATCTCTATACAACCTTTCGAGCTGAGATGATGGAGATGGTAGGGACCATACGCGAACTGCAGTGAGCTAGGAAGCTGATCGCTGGGTGTTTGGTCTTTGACGACCATTGCATGTTAGAGCAATTGCTGGAGCGTCTTTGACGACAAGATCGGATGATACTGGACGCTCTGCTTTCACGACACCATTGCAACACTTCAGATCTACGCTCGACAACCTCATCACTTGGCCTTGCGCTCTGTTTACCTCCTTGATCATGACGGTTTGGTATGTCCTTGCATCGACTTCTTTGTCACTAGATGTTGACTGCCGTCGCCACAGCAGCTACGAACCTATAGACACTTCATCAGCAGCCACTATCAAATGGGCGTTTGTTCAGAGCTACCTGCTAGCAGTGCTGTGTGTCTTCCACTTCGCTCGTATCTGTCATGCTGACTGCAACATCCCCGTTCATGTCGATAGCGTCACTGCAAGCAAGTTACACCCTGCTGAACTGCGTGACGTAGGTAGGAGATGGCGTGGCAGTCCAGTATCCAAACCCATGAAGTCTGCTGTCTAGCCAGAGCTATCAAGCCTATTCATGCAAAACGAGACTTGTCCGCAACGTGCACATCCTCATGCAGTGCAGAGCAGTGACCCGTGACGCTGCAAAAGCTGAGCTTCAGAAAGAATGTCATGGTGACAGCCAGCCAGCCAGGTGGACGATGACGCTCAAAAGCGGTGCCAACTGCACCAAAGCCCGGCTCTTGATCGACTGTCTCCACTGATGCAAGACTGCAAGAAACACCGAATTCATCTCGTCTCGCTCTCGGCTGTTTAAAGTGTTAGCATGCCAATGACTGCATCTACTGCATCAGGACAGTCTTCACTTGGCTGGCCGTGTGTTCCTCTTTGCTGCATCAAGAGTCCTGCGGTGCAACGTTCACTCGAGACAGCAGGTTCTCCACAGGCGCTAACTGAGCTCTTCACCGGATGAAAAGAGATCTCCGCCATGCTAACGCCCGCCTACACAACGAACGATCCACATCATGAGTCCAACCACGGCAAGGACTTTGCACCCCGTCAGCACCATTCGACCTTGTTCATCGAGCCGGAAAAGAGCCTCACGGAGCGAGTCCGTCGTTACTTTAACAGCCGTGCGACTGCATCTCGAGTACTGGTCCAGAGCGTCACAACAGACGAGATCGACGACGCTTCTGTCCCTGTCTTCTCGTCCATCTTGTCCAGCTCGCCTCCTTCTCCTTGCCTCCTCTTTACCTGCTCCTGAGCCTGCAGTAGTAACTTCTCCAGACTCTCCCCCCTCTCACTCTCGAGAACACACATCAGTGCAACAACTCGATCCTCTAGCCACGCCACTTGACTCTCGAGGTACTCGAACCGCGTCTCGGTCTCTTGCTCTTCTCTCTGCTGCTCGTCCTTCTGCCTCGCCTCTTTTGCTCGAGCACTTGCAGCTGAGCGCGAATACTCAAGCGACGCGACGCCAAGAGCGACGGAGAAGATCAGGAGCTCTCCGATTAAGTCCGCGCCTTGCTCCACCGCTTGGTCGGGAGACACGGGCTTGATCGTGTAGCTTGAGATACCTCGAAACCCCATGTGGAGCTTCATGGTCATGCGGTGCTGCTGTTGACCCAAGCGACTGCACACGGCGCGAAGCAGCGGATGGTTTTTCGACCGGGACTTGACCACTCTGGCCAAAGGTTTCGTCAGCGTGCGGGCCACTAACCCGCCCAACTTGATCATAGGCAGCATGGCGACTGCAACAACTTGTCGAATTGGCACGAGTCTCACGTAAAACGTGGGACTGTCGTGGGTTCGAACACGGAAAGAAGAAGAAGAGCGAAGAAGGCAGACAAACAGATGGGAACGAGGAGGAGATGACAATGTGCTGAAGGGACGAGCGGTGAAAAACAAAGAGGGGGTTACGTCAAATCAGGTCTTGAAGCGCATTGCTGGTACCTACCTGGTTCTGCTGTAGAGGTCCATCCATTACAGTCTTTTGTCGGGTATAGCTGGCTGCTGTTGAACATTCGATACTCGGAAGGCCTTTTAATGGCGGCAAAGTCTTTGGATCATGGAGGATACGCGCAGGCAGCGTCACAGGTGCCACTATTCCCAAAGAAGGAGGAGCGGAATCCCCGGCGACGGCAACACGCCCCAGTCAACAAAGTGGTTGTGACTTCTTTGCCATTTTCATTTTTATTTTGCTGCTCACTTGAGTATGCCGCTGCAGTCGTCGACAAGCGCCTTTGGACGAGAGCATCGTCGGCTGCACCACTGCTGCTCTGCTTTCGACCGCTTACACTTCCGAATCGATGAGGATCCACTTGATGCGGCGGAAACATTTACGCACGATCTCTTCCAGTTCACCATAACGGCCGCTGTACATGAGCAAGTTGTGCATCAACCGAAGACGGTCACCCACGTGACGCAAGCGCTTCTTGATCTGGTTCAGCTGCGACGTGCCAAGACCCTGCGGAATCAGGTTCTCCACGACGGTGCGGAACACGTATCCGTCAAGAGGATGCGTCAAACCTACACGCATACGCAACTCTTCCGGTGCGTTCTCGCCCAACTCATTGAGCTTGTCTTCGTACGACTGCAGCAAACCTGACAGCTTTTCCCAAACCACCTCTTGTCCAGGAAGAGGAGCAAGCTCCGATCCATGAGCATACTCCGGGTGGAACTGTTCACGACCAACGACACGCAACAGCATGTTGAACAGAGCAAGCTGAAGTGCAATGTTATCACCAGGCTTGTGGTGAAACTCTTTCAGCACCGCCTCTAGGATCCAAAAGATACCCAGCGCCTCGGATGGATCGTCGCGGCACTCCCATACAAGCTTCGTGACGGATACATCTACCGCAAGACTGTACTCCGGTTTCGTCAAGCCAAAGTGAGTCATCCATTCCACAGATCGGGTCAAGTACGATTCCTGCTTCTCCGACATCTGAAGCGCGCCCTCCTCCTTTGCCATGTACTCGCCCAGCGGGTGCGCAACAATACGCTGCATGATGTCGCCTGTGACATTGGCCGAGAGCAGCTTTTGCAAAGCGATTGTCGGATAGAGCGACTTGCGACCCGTTACGTCCGGCAGCATGCCCCGCATCAAGAACTGAATGCGGGACCATGACAGACCAGCGAACAAAATGTTACCCTGTCTGTCCAGGCCCCGACGGCCAGCACGACCGGCCATTTGCTGCACCATGAGCGAGGTCAAAACATCGTCCGCGGTGTCTTCACAGAAGCAGCACGTCCGGAACGGCATATTTACACCGTAAGCAAGCGAGTCATCGGAAAACATGACCGCCAGACGACCACCCTGAGCAAGTGTCTGTGCAATACGCAGGTATGCGGCAGGCAGATTCTGGTTGTAGATCGCGATACCACGACGTAGCGAACGCACCAGCGCGTGTCCGTCGTCAGAGTCCTCCGACAGTTCGCGACGCAATTGCCATTTGATCTCGTTGAACTCGGTTGCTGTAAGACGGGAACCAGGAGGCGTCAAGACAAAATCTGGGTGGGGAGCATATATGTCCGGGGGCGGCTTCTCCTCGAATGCCTGTGCCTCACGATCGTCCTCCTCTTTCCCCTTCGCCTTCACCTTAGCTTCGCGTTTCTTCATGGACGCCTGGTTTTTCTCCCACTCGGCGTACTCAAGCTGCACCTTTTCACGAAAATTTGGATACTTCGCAATCTCCGCGGCCTCAATGGATGTCAAAAGCTGATTGAACAGCTGCCGACATCGAACTGAGTCGAGCTGGAAAGCAATAGCGGGAACAAGATTCTTCGCGCAAAGCTGCTTTACAAGGGCGTAGACGTCTACGGCATTGCTAGGGTCTGTGTCGCGTGGGTCGCGAAGCTCCACAGTAACGTCTTGCAGACTTGACGGAGGTGCGAAAAAGTCAAGCAGCAACTGGGTCGCCTTCGGCTCCTTCACAGCAAGGTCTTCCAAGCGCTTCTTGATCTTATCTTCATACTTTTTGGACTCCATCAGCGTAATGCGGTGAGTGCGCTTGCCAAGATCAACGACGTACTCCTCGTCACCACCATCCTTCTTGTCCTTTTTCGACTTCTTGTCTTTCTTCGACTTTTTCTCCTTCTTGATCGAAGTGACGGGACCTGCGACTTCGGCTTCGGTCTCATCCTCAAGCTCAAAGAACTTGTGCGGGTCGACATCCGCTATCAACTCAGCAGAGTAGAACTTTTTCATGGCCTGCCACAAGGCAAACGCATCACGAGGCGTGAACGCCAGGTCACCAGCGTCGAAACCAATAGTAGTGAGGTAGTCCAAAGTAACCCCAGCGCACGGGTGCAAGTACACCATCTCTTGAGTCTTCTTCGCACCTTCCTCTTTCGCTTCTTCCTCGTGCCATATAATGCGCTGTAGATTGATGAACCGGCCCTTGTACTCAAGAAGGTGGACGTCGCGTGAATGGTGCGACTCCCACCAGCCTTTTAGCTTCTCAGCATTGCCGATCGTAGCAGACAGCGCCAAGAAAGGGCACGTTACCGCCTTAATAATGCGTTCCAACGCGCCGCCTTCCGGTCCGTTCAAGTCATGCACCTCGTCGTACACAGCGTACTGAAAGTCGTAGCCAATGTCAATAAGCGTCGACTCGACTGCACGTGGCGTCCCCACCGCAACACGGAATCCAGGCGGCAGAAACACAGTCCCGTCCGTGATCAAAGCAACCGAGCCTTTCACCATTGCCTGGAACAGCGCGGCCACTTGCCACGCAAGGGGATCCGTCGGGACAACAAACAGCACGCGGCCGCCGACAACCGACACGTAGGACGAGAGCACCGTCTTGCCCGAACTCGTTGGTGCGCACACAATAACCGAATGGTTCTGGTCAATGTGGGACAGCACCGTGCGCTGCCAGTCGTCCAGGATGAACTTGTTCATATGGTGCATATTAAGTGGCGGGAGGCGGTCCGACATCTCGGTGAGTTGCCACTCAATCAGGTCCTTGTCACTCAAGTAATCATTGACCGTCTTGACGTATTTCCGGTACTTCTTATGCACGGCGTTAAAGTCCGCCTGTAACTGGACGTGCTCGTCCTCGTCGAGTTTCTTCGGTTTCTCGTGCAGCTTCTTGCGGCCTTCACTAGCGGCCCGTCTGGGCACGAGGTTCGTGCGCTGGATCTCCCAGAGCGTGTCCACGGCGTCCGTGAACTCCTTTTTCTTGCAGCTCTCCCGCAAGATCTCGTACAGCTGCTTGAGACGCCCCGTGGGCGTCACCATCTTCATGTCCAGCAAGTTCTTGGCCTTTTTAATGTTCATGAGCTTCTCCTCGTCGACTTTGCTCTGTTTCTGGGCCTTTTCTTTGGCCAATTGCATGCGGATCAGGTCCGCCTTCTTCACTTTTCCACTGGCACTTGGTTTCTTGTCTGCTGAAGTAGGCGCAGCTGAAGTAGCTGCACAAGTAGCTTCGGCAGCGGGAACGGCGTCGTCTTTGGACTCTTCGGGCCACAGATTGCGCGGGTTGAACGGGTTCGTGGGCGCCAAGTCGCGCAGGATCACGGGCATGCGGTCGGGCCAGATCTTCTGCCAGTTGACGTCGAACATTTCCGACTTCTTGTCCCCCATTGGACGACCGCACGGCGCTTCTAAAGTGACGTCGCGTGGGGAGGAAAAAGACGACTAGACGACGACGCGGCACCAGTCGATCGCTTTGTGGAAGTATATAAACACGCGGTGGTCTTGGGGTATCTTGACGTGGACCACACTATACAAGGAGCCAGATGCGAACCCCCGATATGGCATTGCATTTGAGGTTTTTTCGTGCTGCGGTCCGTGTGTTCGTTCTTGTTCGTAGCAGTGGTGGTCGTCGTGTTCTGAAGTAGCAGCTTCCAGTGTCAATGGTGCGGCTCGACCCGAATGAACGGGATGCATCACCACCTTAATAATAAGAAGAAGAAGAATGATGAATAACTATATGAAAAATAATAATAACAATAATGATACTAGTACTGATGATACTAATGATAATGGGAAGCGCTCCCTCTCTCTCTCTGTCTGTCCATGATGTTGTACCCATAATGCTCCAGACAACCCACTTCTGGTCGCAGCGCAGCGCAGTGCCCCGCCGCGTCTTTGCACTGGCGACCGCTGGCGTCTCGGGTCTAGTGGGTGGCAGCTTAACGTCTCAGCACGAGCTCTCGACGGCTTTCTTAGACGCTGGAACCGAGACGGAGCAGTCGTCGCTCAAGCGCGAGTGGTTTCCCAATACAACCACTCGGCACTGGCACTTTTACAAGGGCAAGTTGAACCCCAGTGCAGCCAAGTCCATGAAGCTCTTCAAGGTGGCGGACACGCCCATTGCGGACGAGATTGCAACGTACTTGGGCGTCGAGCTGAACGACATGGAGGTCAAGAACTTTAATGATGGAGAGACGAGTGTCGTTGTCAAGGAGAACGTGCGTGGCAAACGTGTCTACATTGTGAGCTCGACGACTACAGTGGATCGGTACGTGACTTCAAGGTCGTGGTAGTCTACCGAGTTGAAACGGACGCAAAAAGAAGCTCAGGTGTTGCTGTGTTTCTTTCTTTACTCTGTTCCTGGTGCATGTGATAGGTTGATGGAGCTCTTGCTGGCCATCTCGGCCATGCGTCGTGCTTCAGCCAAGAAAATCACAGCAGTGATCCCGTTTTACGGCTACGCGCGAATGGATCTCATGCACAAGGGCCGCGAGCCAATCGCTGCTGCTGTACGAGACTGTACATTTCGAACGTCACGTGCGGAGTATGACTGAATGTCTCACGCTGTTGCTGCTTAGGACATTGCGCGCATGCTTGAAACGATGGGCGTTGACCACGTCGTGTCCGTGGACCTCCACAGTGCGCAAATCGAGGGTTTCTTCAAGCCGCAGATCCCAGTAAATCAGCTTGTTGTCCGTAGTGGTGCACCTTGGTCTGACGTGTTTAACGCTGACACTCTATCGTGTGTGTGTGCTTCAGGTCGACAACCTCCGAGCTTTTCCTGTTGGTGCCGTGTACTTTTCGGAGCAATCGCTGGGTAAACCGATCGTCGTGGCGCCGCACTCGGCTGCTGTGAACCGAGCGGCTACATTCCGCGACACGATTTCCCGCACACTCGACGAGTTTGTGCCATTGGCGTTCGTGATCCGCAAACACCAGCTTGATGAGGATCAACCTGGCGAGCTGGTGGGTGACGTCCGAGGCAAGGACTGCATCGTCGTGGATACGCTCGTGGACACTGGAGCTACGTTGACGAAAACCGCCAAAGTGCTCAAGGCTAATGGTGCAAGGACCGTGTCTGCCTTTGCAGTGCACGCTCGCTATTCTGCTCATGTAAATGAACCAACCTCAACCTCCTGCAGGTTTTTGCCGGGCGAGCAGTTGCAGTTGCATTGAGCGAGTGGTTGGCGTGTCTGACGTGGTACTTACCTGTTATCTTTTCCTGTGCTTTTTTTTTGCTACTAGGCCGTGCGAACGCTTCACGACTGCAACGAACTGGACAAACTAGTGACGACGAATACGATCCCCACGCACATGACTGCGAACGAGATGTCGCCCAAGATCGTGACGCTGTCTGTTGCGCCGTTTATTGCTGAAGTCATTTCGTGTATCCACACGAAGAGCTCCATTCTTCAAGTGTCCAAGACAAAGTAGTAGGGTAATGAAACAAAGGACGGACGTCGATTGGTTGAAATGAATTTCGCGCAATCACAATTCACTTTGCATCGCACAACCGCTCGAAACATGATGGCCGAAGAGGACCCGAAGGCGGCACAGGAAGAGCTCGCGTTTATCCACGTCGAGCCCGAAGCGAGCAGCGGAAACGTAGGAGAAAAGACCGCAAGCACTGCTGCAGCTGATGGTGCAAAAAACAGCGACAAAAAAGCGCTGTAGGTAGCAAAACTTGGGTACGAAAACGCTGGGTCTGTGTTTTGACTTGTTTGTTGTATGCTTTTTAGGTTCACGTCTATTCAGACGGCAGTGACGCGTGCCAAGCATCCTGTTGCAGCATTTTTCCACTTGTTGTTCAAGGTAAACGTATCGTACTTAATGGTTCACGTGGAAGAATGGGGTTGACCACCACTTGGTTGCTGCCTTTGCTCGTTGTTTGTCCTGTTGTTGTTATTTGTACTGCTTTGGTTTTTTTTGTGTAGGGACTCGCGCTGTTCTTGTACCTGTTTGGCAGCATCTTTATCAGCAACTTTGTCTTCATCTTTGTCCTGTGCATCCTGCTCTTGGCCTTTGACTTTTGGACAGTTAAAGTGCGTATGGGATGGGGCTTTGGAGTGTTAATTTGCATTAGTTGATGACGTACTGACGAGGAGGGAATTGCTTGATTGACTGGACACAGAATGTAACCGGTCGATTGCTCGTGGGGCTGCGCTGGTGGAACCGACTTGACGAGGATGGCACGAGCGAGTGGGTATTCGAGTCCCACGAAGTGGTGACGGAGATCGATCCGCTGGACTCGCGCGTATTCTGGACGGGACTTTACGGCGCACCAGCGCTTTGGGTCATGCTGCTGATTGTGGCGGTGCTCAAGTTCAACGTCGAGTGGGCCCTCATTGTCGTGGTAGCTGTGGCCTTGAGCAGTGCCAATATCATTGGCTATACGAGGTGCAAGAAGGACGCCAAGCAGAAGATGCAGTCGATGATATCGCAGGGTGCTCTTGGTGCTTTCAGTTCGTCTGCTGGTTCGTCCATCATGTCAGCTCTTGGTGGGTTGGCCCTTGGCGAAGGCATTAGCAAGGGATTTGGCAGTGCAGCGTCGGAAAAACAGAGCAAGTCGGAAGTCGTTGTGTGAAGCTTTGGACACGTGCTCAAGAAGTTGCAGACGCAACAATTTGATCTCAACGAGCACAAATCGCTAGTGTTCCGTATGTATAATCATTCCCACTACAAGCAAGCAAGAACGATCGAAAGAAAAGAACAGGAGAAACCTGCGGGGTGGCTATCTGTGCTGCCCTATCCTGTCATCAGGTCAGCACTACGGACATGTGTTGGCACTTCCTAGTGGCTACCTGGGGCCGCGATCAGGTCCTTCATCTGCTCGTTCAGCTGCGTGTAAAACTTGTGGTACTCGAAAATGTCCCCCTTGCCACGACGCACTTCCACCAGATGAAGGCTATCCGCAAGAATGAAGATCTGAATCACGACGCCAACAGCACCCTTGGGTGTCTGCAGCACAGCCTTCACCTTTGACGAGTTTTCTACATTGATCTCGCAGTGGAGACTCTCCAAGTGACCCGTCAAGCGAGTCATGATGCTCGCTGCCGGGATGGTCGATGTGAACTGGGTTGCCCGCTTGACTCGCTTCTCGTCATTGCTCTGAAACATGCGGTTCAGTGCCACGCCGCCGCACATGTTGATCAGGTCGAACGCATTCATCACTTTCAGACCTCCATCTAACTTGTCCTTCTTGTCGGAGTTGATCTCATCCTGGTGCTCCAGGATGGCTGCATCCAAATCGGCCTGGCTCGGTTTGATGGTCATGTGGTCAATGGGGCCCGGTGCAGGAGTAGCCGCCATCTCCGCACTAATCGTTTCAGAGCCAGTCGTGTGAGTCACCAGCTCGTTAGAGACGCCTGCGTTCACGAACCACTCGTCTTGCAAGACATCCTTGATCGCAATACGCGTCTCCGGGTTTGGCACAAGTATGCGGTTCAGTAGCGCTTTCACGCGTGGCGTAAACCAGCTCGGGTACGAGAACTCGGCTTTTTGAATCTTGCGGAAGAGCGCTGACATCGTCGGCTCATCGAACGGCAGGAAACCGGCCAGCAGCACGTACAAAATGACACCCATGGACCAGACATCCGCGGCACGTCCGTCGTATCCTTTGTCGGCAAGGACCTCAGGAGCGACGTAGTTTGGCGTTCCACACGTCGTGTGTAGCAGCGACGCACGCGAGCTCTCGGGGCCATCTGGACCTCCGCCCTCGTACAGCGCCGAGAGACCAAAGTCAGAAATCTTAAGGTCTCCATTCTCATCGAGCAACAGATTTTCTGCAGCAGCTTTCAGTCAGTCACCACCATCGTTTCCCATGCAGGCAGCAAGCAAAAAAAGCGAAAACACTGACCCGGTTTCAGGTCGCGATGGCACACGCCGTTTTCGTGGCAGTACTGCACACCGTCCACAAGCTGACGGAAGTAAAAGCGAGCCGTCTCTTCGCTGAATCTGTTGTTGCACAAAGGACAGTCGCAACAGCACACGTCACATCACGTCACGTCAGTTCACACCTCACCAGTCCGAGCCCACATCCTCTGCTCGCATCACGTGACAACGTGCCTTCCTTCGCTCACGATCTTGTCAAAGAGCTCGCCCCCTGTGATCAGCTCTAGCACAATGAAAATCTGCTCACAAGCAGTACGTCAGATCCCCGACCCTAGAATCCACGAACGCTCCTGTCCGTGTTCAAGTGTAGCCACAACACAGACCTTGGTTCGACTCGCCAGCACTTCTTTCAGCACGACCACGTGCTTGTGGCGCACCATCTTCATGATCGAAATCTCCTTCTTAATCTGCGCGCCCATATTCTGCTTCTGGATCTTCTCCTTGTCCAGCACTTTGATCGCGACGCGCTCGTCCGTCTCCGTGTTCACTGCATACTTGACTCTACACCCCTCAGTCAGCTACAAAAACAACAACCCCTCGACACCGCCACCCCCAATGTAATATCACTATCCAGAGGGTCCACGCACTTTCCAAACGTGCCTTCCCCCAGCGTCTTCCCAATCTCGTACTTGCCTGTTTTTGACCAATCCCAGACAAACCCCAGCGTCAAGATCAAGCCACTTACACACAACCACACTCTACCAACCACAACAGCAGTAGCAGCAGCAGGATAGTAGATGACAACCGTACCGACTTTCTTGACCATTGTGAAGTAGCAGCAGCAGGCAAAGCGCAGCCAGCAAGTCGCTCGCGCTCGGTTTCGTAGTACTAATACGAATAGATCTCTCCCGTCGCGCCGACGGAGCTGTTCGTTACGTTTTTATAGTGGTGTGGTGCACACACACACACACACACACCGTGTACCCGTCCATGTACCCGCACTTATCGATGTCCTTGATAAGTACGATCGTTTTCCACAGGTAGGTCCGATGCACACCAAGCGCACACAAACATGCAAGCCACCACCACCACCCATTTCAATGGCGAAAACGAAGCGGACTTGGATCACGTGCCGGAGCTCGAGGCCGCTACGTGCTTGCCGCCGATCCCCGTGACGATCCTCACTGGCTTCTTAGGTTCGGGCAAGACGACGCTGCTCCAGTTCATTTTGTCGGCGGACCACGGGAAGCGCATTGCCGTAATCGAGAACGAGTTTGGCGACGATATTGGAATTGAAAAGCTCGTGGCGAAAAATGGCACCGACGGACGCGTGGTGATGGACGGATTTTACGAGTTGAGCAACGGCTGTGTGTGCTGTTCCGTGCGGGACGATCTGGTGAATACACTGGAGAAGCTACTGGAGCAACGCGACCGGTTCGACTACATTCTAGTGGAAACTACGGGCATGGCCGATCCAGGCAAAGTGGCGAGTGTCTTTTGGGTGGACGACGAGCTGGAGGGCAGGATCTTGCTGGACGGGATCGTGACGCTCGTCGATGCCCCTCGACTCGAGTTCCACTTGAACCATGACGAGACGCAGCGGGAAGTGGCGGCGCAAGTGGCGTATGCCGACCGGATTTTGCTGAATAAAGGCGACTTGGTGCAGGATGGAGCGAAGAGAGAGCGCATTGAGCGTAGGGTCAAGGAGATCAATGGCGTTGCGTGTGTGCGATGGACGGAGAGGTCGAGAGTGGACTTGGACGAGGTGTTGAATATCAGGAGCTTTACGACGACGAAGTTGGAGCAAGTGGAGAAGGAGCTGCGGACGTTGCTGAAGTATGGCAAGGGCGAGGACGGGGATGAGCGGGAGCGACGTGAGGATATTGCGTCACACACGGGTGGTATGCAGACTGTGTGTGTGAGGATTTCCGAAGGACCGTTGGATCAAGATAAATTGGAGAGGTGGCTCGGTGAATTGCTTTGGCAACAGGACACTTCGAGTGAAGCGGTAGGCTCGGCTATGGCTAGGCGTCAACAGCTATTTCGTGTGAAGGGGGTACTTGCAGTTGCAGGTGAACCCTACAAGTTCATCTTGCAGGCTGTGCACGAGTTGTTTGAGGTGTACGCATCTGAAGAACGCTGGGGTGAAGGTGCACTCGATGGCACGGAGGAACGACTGTCGCAGGTGGTCTTTATCGGCTTGAACCTCACCAAGAGCGAGCTCCTGACAGGCTTGCAGGCATGCATTGTGAGTGACAAGTAGATGTCAGCAGCATGTTGCAATCCATTCATCTTGCGTGCGGTGCCCCATCGATCCCATAGCTACTAGTGCTGGATGCGTACGACGTTATGATGCGAAGATGACCGAGTCATAGCCGCGCTTCGATGCTGCCTCGTTGCTACCTGCAGGTATAAAATAACCACGTAGACATCGCATTGGACTTATCATTGTCGAGGGTCAAATCCAATAATGCAGTCAATCTTGTTAACGCACTCGACCCCACGATCAGAAGCTTTCCAATTGATTGTCCGCAGCGCAGCACAAAAGCCAAGGTGCCATTTATACTCTGCCGTTGACGCGCGGTTATCGGTGAAGCAAGTTTCAGCTGTACGGATAAGAGCGCAGCAAAGTGCTATTTCTTTCGCAAAGATCGACCGCAACACAGAGCGATCACCGTTTTTTCCATGCGGTATTTTCTCCTTCACTCGCTCGGTAGACCATGGCTGAGACATGACAGACGCGCGAGTTTCAACTACCGTAAAGATTGGGCGTAGCAGTCCGCCCAATGCAGTGGCGTCATCATGACAGTGCTCTTGATTCAACAAAGGCTTGTCATAACGGTGGACTGGTAGCAACAGTGACCAACGCGTCGTTTCCCTCACTTCGCTGTCGTTGTTGCTGCTGCTGTTGCTGTTTCTTCAGCTGAAGCACGCGTTCTCGGATACTCATTTTCGTCTGGCCAGGCTCCGCTGACTTGCGAGTCTCTGATGCCCTCAACATGTCTGATAGCGCTGTACCCTTCAGCTTTTCCTTGGCCAGTGCTATAAACGCCTCGTTCTGTGGCAACAAATCAGTACGGGTAAGTCAATTTGTAACCACACATACTGGTAACTCCATTGCATCAATCCGGTGCAAGCTCCTTACCCCAATGACTCGGCGCGTATGCTGGCAGCTTCGGCGCGTGGCTGTCTTGCACTCCACAGCCTTACAATTAAGAAAGCTTGCCATTTCGTCGAAAAATGAGCTTCGCGTCTCAAGCACATACGTTTGCAAGTGCGCGTGGTCCATGCGGACGATACACTTGCTCATGTACACCCCAGCCTGTCCAGCAACAAGTCACATCAGTCAATAAACAGCCGTCCACCAAAAAACATTCTATCACGTACTACGCCAACAATCTGCGCGTTCTTTTCAGTCGTAGCCGTAGACAACAGCGGGTTCAGAAACTCCTCATCAGCTCCCGCTCGCAACGCCGTGTCCAGCACATCTCTTGCCAGATCCCTCAAAAACTGCTTCTTAGAGCAAGCCCGGTTCAGCAGAACAGGCACAACAACATTGTAGTACGCTGTCATCTCGGCCTTGAGTCCAAGGATAAGCTCCTGTACACACAGCAGTGCGTTTCTAGCCATGATCGAGCGCAAATTCGATGCTGCTGGCAGTACAAACTTCACCAGCACACCGTTGTCCCTGCAGCCGCACCACCACCACCAACAACAGCAGAAACCAATCAGTTAATATTGTTTCCCACAAACTTGCGCTCACAAGCACGAAAGCGACCATAAAAAAAGCTCTCTCAAATCCTCTTACAACTGCCGTCGCGCCTGATCGTGGTGGCACTTGGCAAACCGTCGAAGGGAATCCAGCGCTGCGAACTCGTGGCCCCACGCCACGTCAACGTCGTCAGTCGTCATCTGCTGCTGCTGAAGCCGCTGCTGCAGCACCACATCCACTTCTTTGGCTTCTGCTACAACGTCGACACTCTCCTCCAGTTCTTGCATCGTCTTGATCGACACCAGAAACAGCTCGTGCTCAGGTGCGCCGTCTGGCAAACACACGTGCTCCTGCACAAGTCTATCCTTTTGCTCCCCAACTGTCAGCACCTGCTCCCCAACTGCCTGCGCCAACACACAACCTCCTGACTTATGCTCTCCAACTGTCATCTCCTGCTCTTTAACTGTCACATCCTCCCCTCCCGTTGTCGTTTGCTCTTCAACTGTCACCTCCTGCTCTTCAACTGTCACCTCCTGCTCTTCAACTGTCAGCTTCGGCTCTCCAACTGTCAGCTTCGGCTCTTCAGTGGACGCCGCCGCCGCCGACCGTCGCCGCTTCCCCGGCACGACGCTCCCGCACGAACCAACGTGCTGCCTCACACAGCCGTCTCTCTCCTTGCTTCGCTTGCGCATACTCGCGTCCCCAACAGGCCCACGGGCCATGACGCAGCGCCGCAGAGCCGCCCACACCAAGTTCACACACGTCGTTGTTGCCAGCGCAGCCGAGACGCCAAGTTGCGCAACTGCGAAACCTGATACTAACTTACACAATCGATCCTTCCGCGCTGCAATTGATGTCCGAAACCCGTCTTCCATCCACAATCACGTATCGCAATTGTACCAGCTATCACGTTTCGCAATGGTACCAGCCATCACGTTTCCCAACTCCAAATATCAACTTTCGCAATTCGTCATGACGATCGAGTCGCACGGATTTGCCGCTGCAGTTGGCGCGCTCGTCCCTTCTCTGCTTCTCCTGCTGTTCCTGGAGAAGCAGTGGGCACGGGAACTGCCGCCTCAATGCAGCAGCGTCTTGGACCGCGTCTTGTGGCTCGATCCAGACGCGATTTTCCCGCATTTCGAGTGTCTCGGCGTCTCAGGCCGGGCGCTGTATCTGGATTACCTCGCGTTCGACCTGTTGCTCTTCCCTCTGATATATGCTACAGCGTTGCACGGCCTTTTGCGTCGCTTGTGGCCCGAGCGCCACTTGGTCTGGTGCTTGCCAGGCCTGGCAGCGCTCTGTGACGTGTGCGAGAACGTCTCGATTCTGGAGCTCTTGCGGCGGTTCCCACAGCGATGGCAGACGCTCGAGAGGGGCGTGAGTGTCTTGACGCGGGCCAAGTGGATCGTTCTCCTGTCTGCCAATGTCTTTGTGGTGCTGGGGATCGGGAGGGTGGGACTGCAGACTGCAGTGAGGAAGAGAACGACGACGACGACGACGGCAAAGGACGAGTGAAAGAGGGCACGAGGGAAGCAGTTGTAGCAGGAGTGCATTGCATGGTACCGACTCTGGTTTTGCGGCCGATGGGGTTGGAGCGATTGTCGTGGAACATTCTTTGATCGGAGGATACTGAAGGCGTTGGAATCTCCAGCAGGTGGTGCAGGTCATTGCAGTGCCATTGAGGGTTCGCTGCAGTCGCTCGTGTTAATCCCGGGGCTCTTTACGGGTACATTCTTACGCGCAGTATGCAGAGTCAAGAGACTCGGACAACGTACTTTGATTGCCACGAGACACTCGTCTTCCAACCTGGACTTTGCCGTTCTGTGTCCTGAAAGAGAGCTACCCTTCGTATGGCGCTATCGCTTCATGTAGAAGCGCTGGTGCCGACCTCATTGAGGCTCGTCAAGCAAATGAAAGAGAGGCATTTGCACGATCAGCCACCAGCAGCGATACTGCTAGATGTGAGCCGATTGATGATCGAGTATTTGCTGTGCTGCAGCACGATTTAGGTCGACAGGACGGCGGCAGTCCACAGAGCATCCACGGTCATACTGCGGGCAGCACTGACAACCTTCTTCCGACATCGACACCAAGCAATTGGAAAGAGGGGACACCGAAATGTTGCCATGCTCGTGCTGGCATCGAATTGCTAGCGCGTGATGCCAGAGTGTCTTCAGTTTCCACGGTGATTTTTGATGACCCACCACGATATACCTCCGTGCCCACTGACGCGCCATGGCTCCATTTGGAGCTGTGAACACCTCGTCCTAGTCGGGTGAAACGCTAGTCAAGAAGAAGCTGTGCATACCGTCAAGCTGAACGCCGGGGCCACCCACTGTAGGCTTTGTCCGCACCAGCCCAGCGGCATTGAGCGTAGTTTCAAACTATCAAGGACTCATTCCAGAATCTGCTGATGCCCTTGCAAGGCCGCCGATTTAAGAAGAAATTGACTCTGTGTGGTCTTGTATAGCCAGACTCCTCATAACGCTATCGGCCTGCTCGAGCGCCGTCGCTGAAAGCGAGGGGGACTGCTGCATGGGTTCTCTATTAAATGGTGTTGGTTCTCTTGCTAGGTTGCGTGGATGGGCTCCTAGTGTTTGTAGACATGGTAAATGTAAGACCAGTGGATAGTCTAGGCGACACATACGTGTACTGAGCATTTAAAATGTACGTTTATGAACAGCTAGACTGGAGCTCTGTCCTTGACTGTATCTAAGTAGGAGTGTGCCAAAGAGCCGATTTGATGCACACGACAAAGTCCAGGCTTGACCAACCACGCCGCGTTTTGTGAGCCTTGGTTCGACTCGATCAGTTGCCATTCAGCAATTCGCGTCGTCTCTGCGAGGTCGACTGAGTCACCGTCACCAATGAAAATCTACGGTGCGCACATCGTGGCTGTCGCTGCTATGCTCGAGTGCATCAAGAGTCATGATCGGGAGTCTGACGTATCACCAACCACAGCGATGGCCTACTCGGCTTCGGCTCTGGCTTCAGCTAGCGATACCCGCGATGCGGTTTTTGACGAAAGGAGGTTGGAGGCATTCGACACAAAGGAAGACGAGGATAGAGGGCCAAGGTTTGGGGAGAACCTAGTGGTGGACTTGGCTAAAGGCATTGAAAGGCTCACGGACAGTGTTCACCCACCGATGCTTGAGACACCCCTTGCCGCAAGTATAGGAAGAGTGACTTCTACTTGGCACGAAGGAGTTGGCAACATTTACGTGCCACGCGATTGGAAGGGGTCACAAGAATTGTCAGCTGATACACGGCAGAAATGGCTTAACGACGAGCCAAGCTACCATCTTCGAACGGCACTGGCTGATCCTTCAGCACTAGAAAACCCCTCCACCAAAGATTTAGTTGCCAAATACGTAGCGCAATACAAGACTTCTCGCGTCGTGGAGTGTGCAATCGGCCTCGTGTCCTCTGGAAAGAAAAGTGATGTCAAATTTGGAATCAAGATGCTTGAAATTCTGCTACAAGCTTGGTGGCAGGAGGGAAAGGCTCTCGACTACGTTTTCGAGCAATTAGGGCTACGCAGCCACTCTTTGGACTTCAAGAGACTTACTGTTCTCGAGCTATGCATTGAACTGTGGAACGAGGAAGAGCATGGTAACTTTGAGCTGGTTGAGGTGCTGATACGATACTATGGCGACAGTTGGTTGTCATTTTTTCTGTCTGATGCGATTCTGCACAGTAACGTAAATGAACGAGAAAAGGCAACTCATTTGCAGACCAAGATGATGCAGGACTGGAAGAAGAGGGGTCTGTCCGCCGAAAACGTGTACAACATGCTGGAATTGGGCAGCGTACGGGGGACTTTCCATAGCAAAGTGGACAGAACGACCTATGAGAAATACGACGCATTTCGTAAAGCGGAGAAGACGGAGAAAGTATCGGACGCCATTAAGACGAAAAATGGGAGGAACAAGATGAAGCGACTAAAAGAGGAGATGCGAGTCAAGAAACGGAAGAGTATCGACAAACGGAAGAGTGTCAACAAACGGAAGAGCAAGCATCCAAGGATCGAATAGCAAGTGCGTAAACAGCAAGTCGAGGATGACGTGCGCGTTGCCACCGCGCGGGTAAGAGGGCGGCAAGTCTGTATACTGGTTTGCGATACTTGTGGTGTGCCTATCGATTGATCCTTTTCCCGCTCTACCTATGCAGACAGGCTGATTGAAGACTGTTTCTGGATGCTTTTGGGGTAGGGGCGTCGCGACGCGGCACGGAATCCGTAGCGTGACATTACGGTTCGACAAACTGCACATAGTTCATGTTATTCAACGTGACGTGTTTTCATCTTGTTATATGTAGTGCCCATGGAGCTTGTTTGCCGCACCATGTTATCCGCATACTCACCCAAGAAGGCGGTATCGCATTTGTGACGGGCAGCACTTGTTGTTCCTTTCCCTGCGTGATATATTGTAGTCTGTCGTAAGTGGCTCGGATGTGTTTTCATTACCGGGCGGTCGCTGCCCCTATCCTGTGTCTTAGGTGTGTCAGGGAGTGCAGAGTTATACCGATGAACGCGCCCGTACTTCGACTCTTCCTCTCTCTTCTAAGACTAAGGTTGAATCTCACGACCTATGCATGAAATTGATCCGTGGTATCGTCCGGGCAGTTGAATCAAAGATTGCGTATAATCGACCTGACAGAAGATGTACCTTAGCCCAACGACATTGTAGTTGAAGACCTTGAGAACGTTAGTGCCATGAGTTATATATCGCTAATTTCACTGGCTTCAGCTTAAGCAGCTTCGTATCCGATGACTTCAACGTATGTCATACACCTGACGGTAGTTAACCCCCACAGCAGCCCAAAGCACTCTTCGTCATTTCGAAAAGCTCACCAATTGTCCCTTACATCCTAACTACCACAGATTTACCAAGTTGCATTATACCCACAACCGTACAAAACGCAGTTACCAGAACTTTCCCGCTGTCAATGACAACTTGTCAGAGAGCCACTGATGGTGTTTCGACGGATAAGGCTGTGATCAGTGTATAAGGCTGTGATCAGTGAAGGTGTTAAGTGACACTGTATCAATCGCTGATGGCTCTCGATCCCAATCTCTCATTCTGCTTTTCGATACCGGCTTCTTGTATTCACGTATCATATGTGTGCCTCCTGTCAGCTCGCTTGTCTTGCGCACGTTCGTCAGTTTACCTTCCGTCCCAATGTGCCATCAAGCCTTCACTTGTTCTCGAAAAGTGACGCCGGTGAAACTCTAGAATCGATTCATCCCGACGATCTCACACGTCTGTACAACTCGTTGCAACACGAAGAGACCCCGCTTCCTGTGTTCATTACTCTATTCATGCTCTCGTCTAGCCGCAGCTCATTTATGATCATCTTGTCGATCAGAAGCCTCAAGTGATGCACTTTCGTGCTGGATCATGCCATTTGAGTTGAAGTCGACATTTTACTGAACTCGGCACCCGTTTCAGTGTGAATGCTTTCTACCTTGCAGGTTATACAAGTATTTAGGAGTAGGAGTTGTGCTGATCGCGTGAAGCATCGCTTGTCTGCTCTTAGCTGAGTCGAGAGATGATGAGATCTGAGCTCTCGCCATCAGAACAATCAATTTCACTCTGGTCTCTTCTCGGAGCCTACACTACGCCTTTCAAACCCAGGTTTCATCGATATCCTCAGCTTCTCATCACAAGCACTTCTTCTCGGAAGATATCCCATCTCATGGGAGCGAAAGGGGGCGGGATCAGTCTCGAGTACCCTGTTCATGCGGCGACAGGTTGTGCAAGCAGTCCTGATACAAGACTGGATGAATTTTCCCTTTCACGTACAGCAGTGGCCCACTTTATGAGAGCCGGACTTCGAGCATCAAGTTTCATTGCAGGGTACAACAAGCACCCTGGAGTACACTTTATCCGCACGATGACGGCCACAGTCCTAACTCTTGCCATCCAAAATCCGTCAAGCACCTTTATGAAGCTCCCCCGTTACTTCAGTCTTCCAGTTTTACTCAAAAACTGTAGCTACAACAGTTGGCACATCACGGATCAACACACTCATTCCTACTAAGAGGCATTCACGAAAGCATTTGACACAGGCAGGTTGCATGGATACAGGCACGTGAAATCTTCTCGTGATACTTTCATACTAGCGTTGACAAACTTGGATGGGTCACTCAGGTGGAAATTCCACAGGTACTTGGGATTTCGTACAGCTAAATCAAAGTCTATGCGTACGAGTTTCTTGGTACAGGAAACAGCTTATTACTCCCAACCTCATCTTCCAATTGTTGTCTTTTCAAGAAAGGTAGATAGTACCTATGACGAGAGTTCGTTCCAAATAACTAAGGTCGTTCACGAGGAAGCTGCAGAACTTGGTGCAAGATACCATTGTCTTTTTATCGCCGCCGCTTCGCTTCCATACGACTTACGTTGACATTTGCAGCCGTCCCGAGCACGTTTGATCCATCGGAGATTCGCAACGAACAAGTGATAGCGATATTGCTGATTCGTAAGCCGACCGATCCACACGCTCCAAGTTTATGGGGCCTTGACCCAACGCCTTCTTCCTCTTTTTTTTGCCAGGCAAATAGCCGCGATCCTGTCACTCAAATAGTCACGATCCTGGCAGGCCAAACGATACACAACGTTTATCTGGGCACGATCAGCTCACATAGCGATCAAGTGCGATCAATATCACGGCACTAGACATAGACTCTAGCTGACAAAAGCAGGTTTATTGAAGGTACACCACGATAGAGATGGACCACAAAACACGTTTATGGCTACATACAGGATGCGAGTTAGTAAACGAGTAGGGCTTTCAACGAGGACGGTAAATTGTACGATACCTGACCAGGAGTACAGGTGGAGTTCGAACATTTGCATGACCGCTTTCCTAACGCATCAAGCTGCAAATGAGTAAGCGATAGCCTCAATTGGGAAAATCAAGACATCACATTGACGATCACCACCAATATCAGCATCAACAAAAACGAGCTTTGCTTCTTCATCACGCAAGTCGATCGTGTACTCGGGCGTTCCTAATTTAGCAAACGAGATGGCTCATGGTGATATTCAGGTACGTGAGGTGGTCAACGATGCTGGTACAGCGAAACGGCGAGCACGTGTTCGAGCAAGTGGGGTCTTCACCATCCGTTAGACTGCAGCGCCGATAGTTTGCTGAAAACTGGTCGTAGAAGATCTGGAGCACAAACACAGAAGACGACAACGTCAATACAGCTCACCCATTCTCCTTCTAATGAGCCACGACAGCACTCACCTCGACTGAAGTGTGCTCGAATCCAGTCCACGTTGGTGGGAGGTGGGGCACAATGTCTTGAAAGTGTGTCAAGCGATACGCTGCAATGCTCGCGTTCCGTAACCTTGCACTGAAATCGGCATTACCGACACGGGGTTTTCCAAACGTGTAGAGCGCTGCCACCTGAATCTGCTCAATGTACTCGAGCTCAAAGGCACAAATGGCCGCAACAGCTCCTCCCAGCGAGTGCCCAGCCACCATGAGTGATGCCTCGGGGTACTGTTCCCTCAGCTTATGTACTGCTGACATGACCTGCAGGGCCACCGACCGGTAGGCCCAGTAGAACCCCTGATGCACCAGGACGTCAGGAAACTGCTTGTAGGCCCGTGTTTTAAGAAACGTGAGGTTGTCGAGCCAATTGGTCACGTCCATGCTGCCTCGAAACGTAATGACCACAGCTTCATAGAGCGGCGAGTACCCCACGAGGCCTTGGAAAGCGTCTTTGGCATCTTCCACCACGGTGACGCCCTCTAACCGCGCCACGAGGGTGCAGGGTTGGCAGTTCCAGTGGAGAATGCGCTCATCTTGACAGTAGGCGACTGACGTCACGTGGGCGAGATACAGAGCCGTCGTCTCATTGTACGCAGCAGAAGAGGTGGGTACAAGCAAAGGAGAAGAGGAAGAGGGAGGATGGAGGAGGAAGCTGTTGATTGCGGGATGCGACACGCAGCAGATCGGTAGTTGAGAAAGAAGAGTGCCAGACCGTGGAGGCCGTGGCGAGGACGAAAGATTGGACCAGCAGCAGCCCACGCAGCAGCCGGTGGAGGAGTCCCATGAGAGCGTGGCGCACTGGAATCACGGGTTGAAGCGAGCAGCGGAACCCGTTAGGGTGGCACACGTTTCGAGGCTCTGGTGAGTGTTTCGGGGCTGTTTGAAGCGAGGAAGAGGCACGCGAGCGAATAAAGACGGCGGCACTCTCTACTGCGGTCGAGCGAGCATACCAAGTGTTGGTCTTGACTGGAATTGAGTATCGTGAATTCGCGGCGGTACATCAACAACTGCAGATTTCGTGCTACAGGATCACGTGAGAACTCTGCTGCCAAATATTCGACCTAAAAGCGCATGATGGTGGACATGATGAATTACTTACTACCTGGATAACCGTGACTATACACTACACCTCTAAATGTTAAAAAAAAACAATAGGATTCGGTCTGTGCTGCAGTTTCTCTGCAATGAATACAGCGTCCGACGTGAATCATGGCCACATATTGATGGATCACTGTGCGCGATATGATGTTACAGAGCTTTTCCAGTAACTCACCATGCACTACCTGCAATGGAAAGCGGTCTTCTGTAAAATGTGTGCTTCGTAAGTATCGAGATGGGTTATCGGACGTCACAAGTATGGAAAGCCTTGGACTCACGGTTGACAAGCTAGCGACTTGCGACAGGGATGCATCAAGAACGTCTCATCCAGGTAAAGCTGTGGTCAGATGGAATGGGATCGTAGCATGCGAGTGTGCATGTTGGAGTTGGTGGCGTCAACAAAAGTGCGTCTAGAGTGGAGGCTCCACTTCAAGGTTATCCGTGCTGCCTGTTGCAACAGTGTAATGCAAAGGGAGGCGCAAACTCGTTGTTTATTCATCGACCTGCTCTCACAAATCATCGTGGCGATACGTTCCCAACCAGCTCTAGCAAGCAGTCTGCAGGTTCTTCAGTTCCCCGTCATCAAATGTCACGGGCTCGTTCCAGTTAGCCTTGTGCGCATCAAGCGCGAACACGATCAGCTGCAATGCACGCTTCGAAGTCACGTCAACCGGCCGCGGCGAAGGGAGGAAGACGTCGTCTTGGACGCGCTCGAACCGGAACCCGAATGCTGCTGCCTCTTTGAAAAGCAAATCTGCCGTCGACTGTGCACGGCACACGAACCCGCAGCAGAACTTGGCCCTCAGCGGATTGCAAGAGCGCAACAGCAAGTACTTGATCGTCTGCAGAATGGGCTTGACAAGGTTTGGCCAGCACACGACGTCGGCGCCAATGAGCACGTCTACCGGGTGGGGGAATGCGCGCTCGAAAGCTTCGACGCTCGCGGCTTCGCCCCACAGCAGCGGCAGCACCTGCACTTTGCTCGAATCGGCGTTTGTCTCGGCGTTTTCTTTCAGTAGCTCCAGCACGATGTCGTTGCCGTCCGTCAAAGCAGTGTGCGCTCTGTTTCAGCATAAACGGTCAAATGCATGATAACACGAGCAATGCGAGCGCAGAGACGAGCAAAGACCTACGCAAACTGAGAAGCGAGAAGTCCACTAAGGCCTGCGCCAGCGCCTAGTTCCACCACCGTCTTGCCAGCAAGTTCTTCACGGTGAGCGACGAGGTACCATGCTAGAAAAGCTGAGACTGGCCACACCACTTGACCTGTGAGATCGTGATCCGTTGAAGCAGCGTGAGAGCACAGCAGCTTTTGCTTGGTCACGCCAAAGTCGAACTCTTGTGTCGTATAACTGGAAACCAACGAGTCAGCGTGGACGTTCGAACTACCACGACGAAACAACACGCGTCAATGCAGCAACGACTTACTCGCGGTTCACGAACAGCTCGGTGCTGAAAAAGTCTTCGTAGTCCTCCTTGTCTTCGAAGCTGCTCATTGCGGCGATGCTGTCCAGCGATTTGCCAGACTCGCTGAAGTACGATGTGCGGCACACGAACAGCAGCAGCTCTCACGTTGCCTTTGATTCCGAGAGAGCTTAGTGGCCTGGACTTGTCGGCTACAACTCCCATCGATACGGACATCTGAGACAGATGATGATAATTCGCGTACGATCCACGACAGCTTTGCGACGCCACTGGCGATAGCGTGTTCGTGAGCTACCGCAGTTGCGGCACTCGAACAGGTCTGACTCGAAGCCCTCGACTTCGCGGCCGTCACGCATCACCTCGTGGGTGCGTTTCTTGATCCACTCCTTCCGCTGACGCACGAGCTGCGGATTTGCCATATCAGGACCGCTCATGCGCACGAGGCTTTGACTTGGCAGCTCACCAGAAACTAGTCGGTTGCGCAGGTCGACGTTCCGAACATCCTTCAGATTAAATAGCAGCGTCCTCGCCTTGTGCGCATACGCTTTCGTCAACGAGTGGCTGCATCCACCAAATCACCACAAAGCACAGGATGTCGTAAAGCACTCAGGTTAGTACTCGAACAAGCTCACGTAGTCCACCCGCCAGTCCTTTAGCTCGCCGCACCTTTGACCATAAGCAGCATACAGCTCCTCTTCCACGTCCATCGCCACCATGACGGCGTTCGAGTCCACAGGACGCAAAATGTCCGTAAGCCGCGATGAGAAGCGGCGACGGGCGACTGCAATGCTCGCGAGACTCCACGACTTGCACACGCGCCCCACTTGCCCAAAGCTGATGATAAGTGCCAGCACTTCCTGCGGTAACAGTGCAGCAACTGAAGCTCGAGCGTCCACCTTCTCTTCCAAGCTCTCCTCGTCCAATTCTTCACCCTCTGTCTCCTTCATTTCCGTCTCCACTGATCCAAAATGCACCGACCGATGAGTTGCACGAACAGAGCAAGAAGTTCCTCCTACCTCATCACCACACAAAAACAAGTATCACACAACACACAGTTATCAGATGGCTACATTAGACCACAGCTCACCAATGGCAAGCCCCGATTACAACACCAACACCAATTCCCATAACAATTACCAAAATCGTACCTATGAAGTCGAGTGCGTCCTCCAGCTCCACGACCCACGCGTCTTCCTCGTTATCCTCGACACTTTTCACTGCAGCGACTGCGTCCATCCCTTTCCCTCTCAAAGTCGATATAATAATAATAATAAAAAAATAAACCCACGACTCTCAAGCTACCAATACACACTTCCTCCGTCTGAGTCGCTCTGTCGTTTCAAAAAAAAACCTCGTCTTCGGAATTTACACGGACGACGACACACCCTTCAGTCCAGCGGCCATCATGCACACACAAAAAAAAGTTGCACGAAGGGAACATCCTGTGTCGACCACACCATTCGTAACCCCTCAACGTGTTGCTCGAATGTATCTGCCCCCTCAACGACCCCACCTGGACTCGTCCATTGTAAAAAAAAAAACATGCGACAGCGCGCCGTCACTAATGACGTAACCAATGGCGGCCGAAGCGCTACCGACGCGCACGAGGGCCTCGTGTCCCGCTCCGCGCGTCGTGTGTTGAAGACTGTCGACGTGTACCCGAAGATGCACCGCGAGTTCAACGTGCAGACGGAGTTTGGCGCCACGGTTTCCATCGCCGCAGCGCTGGTCATGCTCGTCCTGTTTCTATCGGAGCTGCACGCGTATTGGCGCCCTCATACCCACGAGCACATGGTCGTGGACACCTCGTTAAGTGCGAAGCTGCAGGTCAATCTCGACATTAGCTACTTGGCGATCAACTGCCGCGACGCGCACATCAACGCGATGGACGTGGCTGGAGAGCTCCAAGTGAATATGCACCAGACGATCGTCAAGACCCGGCTGGACGATCGGGGGAATGCTATTGGACGTCCTGTTGCTATGGAGAGAAGAGGGGGGAGCACCGTGAGTGACGAGACGGAGGTGGACATGGGAGGTTCAGAGAGAGAGTGTGGCAGTTGCTACGACGCTAGGCACCCGTCCGGGAAGAGCTGCTGCAATTCGTGCGAAGAGGTGAAGGAGGCGTTTGTCTACAGCGGGTACTCGCTCGAAGATGCCGACGGGAAAGCACAGTGTGTGAGGGAGGCTGTGGAAGAAGAGAAACTGGCGCAGGACGGAGAGGGCTGTCGGTTCACAGGTACGATGCTCGTGAACCGCGTGGCAGGCAACTTCCACGTTGCACTTGGACACACGTTTCATCGACAGGGTAAACTTGTGCACCAGTTCCGACCGGGTGAGGAGTACACGTACAACTCGAGTCACGTGGTTCATAGCCTTTCCTTTGGCGAGCCTATGTCGGGTGTTACGGGACCTCTCGATGGTGAATTGAAGATTGCGACACAGTGTACGCACATGTGTTGACAGTGCAATGGGAAGCGCTGCGTGGAGTGATCAACTGAATTTTGTGTGTGTAGACGGCGGCGTGTTTCAGTACTACATCAAGATTGTGCCTACGATCTACAGCGATATCGACGAGAAGGCGATTCACTCGTATCAGGTGCGTCGATTTGCCTTGACTTGAGTGCTGATGCATGTTGGAGTAACCCTATGTTTTCCACCGCCACAGTTCTCGGTCACCCAGCAGAGCAACTACTTGGGCCCCTACGGACAGATGAAGTCGCTTCCGGGTACTTACATTTCATGCAAATCTTTTTTGAAGGGCTATGCCCGAGCTAATGACTCTCGACTTGCGTGTTCTGGTTTTTATGATGCAGGTACTTTTTTCGTGTTTGATCTCTCGCCGTTCATGGTGAAGGTGGAGAATGACCGCATGCCGTTCACGCATTTTCTTACAAAAGTTTGTGCCATTGTCGGTGGCGTCATCTCGGTGCGCATCGTGTATCGTGAGAACCGTGCAGCTTCAAAGCACGCTAAACTCATTATATCATGTGCTGGCCGTGTTTTGTCTGCAGATTGCTGGCTTTGTGGATTCGTTCACGTACAATTCGCTGCGCGTTCGTCGTCCAACCCCTGCTGGTGGGGTCAGTAAGTACGGCTAGTATCGCTGCGTACTCACCGTGCGCCCATACAGCAGATGATGAAACGCTGCAGGGCCAAGACGAACATTGCGAATCCAAAGGGCGAAGCTACAAGTGACTGTACGCAAGGTTGAAAGCCACACTTTCAAATCGTTTTTAGCTGTCTGTGTGTGCGACGTAATCTAACTGACTTGAATACTCTTACAGTCAGAGGTATTGGTCACATTTTTCTCGGTAGCTTATCGATCTCTCTCTATTAAATCTTTCGTGCATTGGTTTTCCAAGTGGTACGGGCCGCACTTTGTTGGTTACGGCTTGACCGAGCAGGATCATCTTGATTCTCTTTTTAGCTAAATGAACGAGTCGCCTTGACACGCACCTTTCATCGGTCCTTTTTTTGATAAATACACGCCCGACAACCCATTTCTTGGCCGCCAGCCCTCAAAATGGGTACGTCAACATATCAAACTTGATTTATTTTTTGGAGTAAATCACTTACATTGAGGGGCGAACTCTAGAGCATGCCCCCTTTGTTTTTATACCTTGATAAATATTTTAAATAAAAAACGAATAAATGTCACGAAGGTTTTTACCTACTACACCTACTTTGAGCTAGTATCTGCTCTACGTGCTGAGCAAGGGATGTGACGTTTTCTGGATCTCGTTAAGGCATCAGTCGCAAACGACCACTATCTGAAATCACGAGGAATATTCGCGCCGCACCAATGCATAGTACGGCCACGAACTTTTGGCTTGTCCGTCCGTTTAGATATAGTCTATTGTATAGGGCTGACTTAAAAAACACCACTTTCTGAGAAAATTGGCACTTTTGACCTATGAACACATGACTTGTACTGACAACCCATTTAGTTTACATTTTCCATACTAACAGTAAGTAAGCGAGATGCTACTATTGTCAAGTCTAAGTAATGTTGGCCGTGAGTGGAATCGAAAACGTTCACCCGCAAATCATTCATCGAGTTGTCAATACAGACACCCCACAAGGGCAGAGCTTCACGAATTAAGGGACACTGCTCGTTTGCCTTGACAGTTGTGAAGTAGTAAGTTGTGGGTATAATAAAACTTTAGTAAAAGGAGAGAAGTACTCGCACCAAATGGATAGTAGACAGCACTATCGCTACCTTCGAAGGTGTATGATCATTCTTACTCTAACTTCGCTCATGGCAATTATTCATGCCAACATATGAGTGACTTGTGTGTATCTGTAAATCTCTAATATTGCGTGCTATTGCACATTTATCGTCCTAAAATGAAAGCTTCTGCTTTATTGTCTTTACATCTAGAGGTTCCACTTACCGTGACGCGTCGTCCGAGAGGAAAGAGGTACAGTCCTCTTTCCTCTCGGACGACGCGTCACGGTATAATATAGAAAGCTTGATCTTTCCAATACATTAAATGTTTTCGTTGTGACAGTCATGCAAAAAACGTCGGTAAGACGCTCTATTCTGGCATGTGCTAAATACGGGCAATCGATAACTCGTACAAGCACGTGACCTCTATACTTCCGTGGTCATTACATGCACTTGGCCTGCGTGGGACATTTGGTACTACTTTATCTGCAAGCAGCAAGGAATATTATGCCAGGTGCCAAGCGATTGCTGTAGTGAACGCTAAGCCGAAGCCTTGGCGTACGGCGTACTATTGATAGCGCTGTGGTCTTCTTCTAATTACCTAAGACCTTACCAGTAGCAACTACTCACAGCTCGATGTCTGAGCAGCAGTGGTAGGAGCAGCATAACTCTTTACAAGGGCTCCTCTTTTGCTAAAGGTTAATGATGGGATCACAACTTGATGTCGGTCATATGTTGCTAAATACTGAAAAGAGTTGTGCTGGCTTTTTGCTTACAATGCTGGTCAAGAAATGGGGGAACCTAAAAACGCAGCTTGCCTAAAAAATGCTGGTAGCCGCGAATCAGGGGAAAGCCCCAACATAAGTAAATAGCCGCAAAGAAGTTGGATAGAGATATTAGCTCTAAAGAACTAAACTTTATGAGTCAACCAGCGTAAAGATTAAGGTTCCCGTTCCAGGGGACTGATAAATTCAGTGAATCTACAGCATTTAGTGCTCAAAAGTAGCTACCTCAGAAATATGTTGCTGTGGTAAAGCGGATTGAAGCAATCGAGGAACATTTTTGAGTCGAGTAATCTCAAACCGCGACAATTCGTTGCGAAGGTCAATTGGCTGTCAAGCTGCACAACAATAAGACCGAATAGCGCAATATCAAGATCGGACACCACGATACCGAGAGTGAATATCGCAATACCGCGATCGAATATCATAGCAACGGGATCGAATGTCGAGTTGCCAAGATCGAGTCAATACACCAAGATCGGAATTGCGTGAGATGTTCAAAGTAGGAAAGATTACCGACACATCGGCAGAGATTAAGGTCCTTGTAGAGATCGACGATCGGTCAAAGAGAGCAGCGATTGGTCACAATGATAGAATCGATCGATCAAGGAGATCGACGATCGGTCAGGGAGATCAGCGATCGGCCAAAGCTATCGACGATCGGTTTAGGAGATCGACGGTCGCTCAAGTAGATAAATGATCTATCTGAAGTGGACACGTATGCTTTCTTGGTAGCCAATGCAACTTGTATCGCACCCCGACTGGGCTACGCTTCTTAAACCGGATGCAAGCTGCATCAAGTTTACCGAGCCAAGCCTCACGGCCAATGCACAAGATGTTATGGTTGAGGGCATTCCATCCTTGCAGCAAGGCCTTATCGTCTCAACCACAGTTGCCAATGTACCACCGATGTTTGAAAACACACCGGTGAAAAAAATCTTCCTCAGCACGGATAGTTTTCGTGCTGGAATTAGGAGGACAGTTCCTTCTTCAATTGAACAACGGGATTAGATCCCGATCGGTAGTCATGCCGGTCAACCGGTCCAACTCCTAAAATGATAACATCCAAGAAGACTCCACTTGAGGAGCGTGGCGCAAGACATTTCGGTCCCTGGTATCTTTAGTGGTTTCATCTCGAGCACTGACACTAGTGGCAACTCGATCTTTCAAATTGCTTCTCTCGTGGTGATGCATAGAGGCATTACCACCTTCATCACGCATCCTATCGTCGGTTAGACTTGCGTGAGACGATGATTCGTCAAAGGAATCCCTCGATCCGAAGATCTCGGACCTGATGCCGCCACGTTCCCCAGATCCAGTCAACCCGCCTCTTGCAGTGTCCCCCCGGATGATCCGGAGGTGTGGGGTGTCGCCTTCGAGTCGGATGCATCATCCGACTCCCCAGAATAGATTAGCTCTATTTCAGGCTCATCTACATTGCAATTCGCAGTACCCGCTGCAGACGCAGCGGATGTATCTGTCGCACGTGGTGACTCACCACGTGGACTAGTCGCAAGAGGCACTGCCTGTTGCTAACTTGCAACAGCAGGCGAATGACCACCTGCTGCTGATGCTTGAGACGTACTCTCTTCGGTTGCACGCGTGCGTGCAGCCGCCATCCTTGCTGCTACAGTTGCAACTCGCATGGGTTTCGAAACCATGCGTTGGATTGGCAAATGAGTGGGATTTGACCAACAAGTGCTTCCCTTCCTAGAGTGATCTAATGGTGATCACCCTGTCCCCATTTATTTTAATTTAATCAACGAGTGATTGATGGTTTAGGGGGGGGGTGATACAACGGGGTAGCCTGTTACACGATGTTAACATCAGACGGTGTCAATAGGAAGATTAACGAGCGTGACAATCTCCTGTCAATATTATCCGAGACGAATCATGTTGAAGGAAAATTATCCCCTTCTAGGATAATATTTATGCGCTGCTCAAAGTTGGTTGAATTAAAGACATATCAACCATAGATTGCCACCAATCGCTGCTAGACGCGCGTAATGAGTGGTGAGCAGGTCGTCGTCATACGACGACGTAGTTTAATATAGTCAGATAAAGACTGAAGTTATATTGACAGCTTAACTAAATTAAATACAAATCTCTTTTTACCTGTTACTCAAGCAGCTAGTTTGAGTAGATTAGCTTCCTCTGCACGAACTGGTGCACGTGGAGTTTTGTGGCACCCCAAACAAAGGGTGCCCCCTACACAGAGGCTTAAGGTAACAGCTAAATAGTTTTTAGGAACTTAAATATTAAGCTAAAGACTCGGCTAGTTCTACGGAACTTAGCGTGGACTCTATGAGCTATTAGCTCAGACTACTGTAGTCTTAAGGAACTACATGCTCAGTGTGTAGAGGAGAATACAGAAGCTTAAAGAATTTTAACCCACGACAGTTCCACGGAACTGTCAAGCGCAACGTGCGGAAGCGGAAGAAGTCTTCGAACTTTCGGTCAAAATGAGAACTGATTTCATTTGGATTTTATAGCGAGAAAAAGTTCACTTTAGTACCATGTATTCTACTTATTAGAGCTGATTCAAGTATTAATATTCGAACTGCGGGATGGTTAGCGCATCACTCAGTCATTAATTGATGACGGTACAAAGTACATCCACGGTTATTACCGTACCTCAGAGAATACCGACTAATCGATATTCTCTACTGATGTAAACCTATGGCCACACTTGTCTCCCATGTTACCTATGGGAGGTTTTCAACTAATTTAGCCGATGGCTAGTGTGACCCCATTGCACGCCAGCCTCTATAAACCGAGAAGAGATTCTAGATCTTTTAGTGGAATTCCATCTCGTGTGTCAAAGACACAGGGTACCAAGTATTCTACGATGTGTAACCCCTTTGCATTGTGCACATCACATCCACACCTTCCTTATTACGGGAGATACCCCCTATGCCCGACCTTTGAATAGCATTCGCAAAGCCATTCTTAAATGCATAGGAATGAATGGTTTCATTAGCGAGCTCTAGATTATGGTAGGTTTCTACTGAAAGGGGAATACGGGAAGACTAACTAGAGATACTCACTGTCGTCTTTGTTAAACGATGCGTTTCAAGGCGGATGTGCGAAGGCAATTGTAAACAGAATACGCATATTGGCTGCGGAATAGCTATGGTCATTATAAGAGTCGTGTAGGAATTAAGGATCTTTTGGGAGGCTGTTCAAACACTTGTAGGCCATCCACTTGTTTTAGGCGAGTTGCTGGCTTATTTGGGATCCCCCTTATTTGTGAGGAGGAAACTGGTTAAAACAAAAAAGGAAGTGATAATTGATTTTTGAAAGTGACTGTGACAAGGCTCTAAAAGTCGAAGCAAAAGAGTCATTCCAAATTCAGTGGAGAACATCCGTAAACACTGTTCTGTTCCTTATGTCGCTCAGTCGTGGCCAACTAGATGGGTAGAGCCGATACGATCCGGTAGAATTGGTACAACTTCGTAGGTCCACAGGAGTTTGAATTGATCAAAAAGTATCTAGCTTAGTATGTGGGAACACGAATGCGACTTGAAACATAGAACATCGACTCATCTCCATCATGAAAAAAAAATCAGTGCTTTACAACGCTTCCTTTCTGTATTCGATCTCGTGCTCACCCTCGTGTAAATAAGCCCATCGCGGTAGTGGCACTTCATAAGACCAGCTTGGCGATTCGTACCGATACGAATGTAGCCATAAGACATCTGTCTCCTCCACTTCCCCCAATTGTTTTTCTTGCATGGCTCCAATGCAGATGTCACATGCACAAATACATCGCTCTTCCTCGTCTCGATCTTCACCTTCAACAGGCGGTTCCGTTCCAGTGTTCGAGGTTTCATAGCCATTAGCCATCACTTGTACTGCAACTCCAACTGTACCTGCTCGATAGTCGAAAGTCTCGATTCGACTATTTTCAATCAACTCCCGGCCATAAAGCGGATCATTCGCAACAGGGAAGCCCAAATGCTGCAAGTGGACGCGGATCTGGTGCGTCCGCCCTGTCACAAGTCGACACTCGACAATACTTTGACCGTTCACAGCTTTTCCGTGAAGACGTATCAGCGTAACACAAGACTTTGCACCCGGAGCTTCAGTCACACACCGCACATGTCCTTGACGTGGAGTTTCCAATCCAATTGGAGCCGTTACACGCCAGTAGCCGTCCTCCACAGCTTCAATCTTCACGAGTCCAGAGCTCACGCCTTCAACATGTGCCCACGTCGAAGTCGCTTCAACCTGCGGGAACTCGCCCGTCACTCGTGCTACATAGTACTTCTGCACGAGACGACTTTCCAAACCTTCTACGGACGAAGTAGCAGTCAATTCGGCAGATAGACTACGTGCCTTCTCCACCGACTTAGCAAGTAGCAACAGCCCAGACGTGAGTCGATCCAGTCGATGGACTGGGAACAACTCCAACGTCTCAACCTCTATCTCACCTTGTGTAGCTTTACGTCGTTCATGCTGCAGGATCTGCACTAATGAATTAAAGTGGTAACTTCCAGTTGGATGCACTGGAATCCCGGACGGTTTATCAACGACCATCACCTCGTTCGTTTCGCAATGTACCCACGTCGATGAGAGAGACGTCGTCGTCCGCTTCGTTTCGAGCTTTTGACCGCGTCCTTTTACTACTGGACAATGGATACTTGGTTCATGTCGGTGCTTCCAGTGCTCGAAAAAGTCTCCACTTTTGAGAACCAAGTCGAGACTTGCCTCGCTTCCATTCACTCGAACGAGTCCTAATTGCACCGCTCGAGCGCAATAAGTGGCTGACAGCGTCGGAAACTCACGGGTAAAGACTTCACCCACAGACGAGCCAACCCACCGACCTTTGACAAACAAGGCGAAGCGATGGACGTATGGATTAATGCTACGGACGACACAAGTTATGCCTGCCAGTCGATGGGTACACTTGGTGGACGAGCACGACTGGCAGTGGACAATGGGCACGAGCTCAATAGTTGCACTAGAATGACTCTGACGCTGGTTCCGACGCTTTCTTGAGGACTTTCTACTGCCTGTAGCCAATTGAGAAGCTTTGCGGTCAGCAAGCCATTGAGCTTTCTCCTGCTTCCGACGCAGCTTCTTGCTGGGTGGAAGGGCGTCGTCCACCATTGACGATTGGTGGATACACACAATGTCGTACACTAATGAGGACTGTACCTAAATTGCCACTTTGAGGCAGCAGCTGGAATTAGAAACGGTTTTTTTATTATTTTACGTCGGATGGTGCTAGTTAGGATGCGTGCGAAGAGATGTGTCTGCGAACAAATGTTCTGTGCATTTTTTATATCATGCGTCATTTGGCTCAAGCGCGAAAATTTACGAAAGAAAAAAAACTCACTTGATTGTGTGGTATCATACCTACTAGATAGTCAGTCCGTAACAAGGCCTGAGCGTCCATTCGCGACATACATGCGCTCCACCACGCCAGGAAGGAATTCGTAGCTTAATAATAATAAAATACAGGAAACAAGTCGTGCTATTTCTTACTTAGCTAATGACTCAGAGTCTTACCGAGTCAACAGTCGGTAGATTTGACTTGGCAAGTGAGTGTTTCGGGACAGGATGAACATGCAGCCAGACGCCCCATACGCCAACGCCTGTACATTCCAGTTACAACGATTATCCGACTTAACGCTGAAGGACTAGAACACTGCTTTCCGTCGTCTAGACTCTTGATGCACACAAGTAACAGTAGTATCTGATGTAGCGTGAACTTGGAAGCTCGTAACATCCACTTTGTTTACGAGACCAATGCATCCCGTCTATCTCTCAAAACCTTCCGTAGCTTCTTCGGGTAGCGTGTTACACTCATTGTAAAAGTATCTGGTACCTACATTGGTCACAACTACCTATACAGGTAGTGCATAGTCTTCGAGATGTACTAGAATTACTCTCGATGCACGCAATGATGAGCGATGATACGTCTGCGGATGAGGGACGACGTATATCGCGGCTTCATGAGCAGATGCAGACGAGAAACGACTATGGTCGAGATTGAGTCTTGCTGTCCTTGATGACAGGAGAAAACTGGGAACACGTGCCGATTGATTGAGACCGAAGCTGAATGCGAGCGAGCTGTTCCGCGAAAAGATGCCACGGTCGCTGGTTCTGTCCTTCAGACCTTCACTGTGTCTTTGACTTGCAACGGTTCACGACAATGGCAAAACGCGAGGCAGCTGAAGGTGTCAATGGCCGGCTAAGTATCGATCTGGACCAGGATAGCATTGCACCCGGCGAGATTATTTGCGGCATGGTGCGACTTGGTCTGTTGGAGTCAATTGAGGCCAGAGAGCGTGAGTCATGTAGTATACGGTGAGACCTTCATCATTCGTTCTGTGCTCACTATGGACTGTGAACAGCGCTGGCGGTGGTTGTTCAGGGAAGAGAGGCGGTGACATGGGATGAAGAAAGAGGCTGCAGTCCCGTCACGAACGCCTTCGACAAGATCTTTTTTCAGCACAAGGTGAGCTGACAAGGACTGCTCCTTGTCCAGAGACATCCCGTTTACTGTCGAGACTGACCGGAGATGTGGTTGCTGATCCTTAGATTGAACTGTCGCCGGATGCGGTGTATGAAGCCGGTGAGTCGGAGCACCCTTTCGAGCTTCAGCTACCAACAGACTTGCCCTCGAGCTTTGAGCTGCTCGACATCTATAGCGAAACAGCAGAACGTCTTCGAGTGCAGATCAAGTATCAGGTAAGTGTGTGGCTTCGATCGAACCGCGCGTCCGTGGCCTATTTGACGTCGGAACAGGAGTTTACAGTGCATAATCCATCAACGAGTGCACCACCTGCAAGAGCTCTTGAGATTTCGGCTTCTGAGGTGGTGCATTGGTTGTACTGCGTGACGCGAGGGGACTTACAGATGACAGTCACGATTCCGAATGACGTGTCGGTTGCGGGTCAAGTAGTTCCGCTCCAATGTTGTGTGGATACTTCTGCCTGTAAGGCTCCGGTCAAGTCGATCTCGGTGGAGCTCGTAGAAGACGTGGTGATACAGCACTTGGGGGAACAACCCGACTGGACAGTCATGCGCGTGCTGTCGACGGAGCAGTTTGCTGGTCTAGAAGCTGGTTGTGTCCGAAAGCTAGCCACGAACGTCAAGTTCGTCGAGAATGAAAAGCAGAGCCCTGTTAACGCGGACGTGGACGCACACTTCTTCCAGTGCAGTCATCGCGTGATTGTCCGGTGCAAGCCTCGTCTCGCGCCGCCTATCGTCTGTGAAGTGCCAGTGAGGGTACAACACTACAAGACGCCATTCCGTGCAGGGTCAACTCGATTGCAAAGAATGCCAGCGGAAGTTATGGCTGGTCATAAAAGCCCATAGGGTGAACGCACTTGTTGTTGTGCAAGCTAAGGTGGTTGAAGTGCCCGATGCAATGAGTCGCACTGACGTCTTTACCTGTACGCAACACATCATTAGTCTGTGAACGTTTCGACCTCACCATATTGTCGTCGCAAGCTGGGTATCCTCGATCCTTCCTCCAAACAACTTTACAATGAGCACCTCGATGACCTGTATGCTCGGAAATGCTCCAGACAAACGCGTCCATTGAAACACCTTCTTCGTCTCTTAGTAGCTCCACCTCCTTGCAAGTGCTTTAGTCACGCATCAAAACTTTACCTGCCTTGCAAAGACATCACCTGATCCATCCACTCGGTGCAATAGTAACGCGTCGATCAGTGCGTGTTCGCATCTAGTCGCCATGTCACGCGATAGCTAGACCTTACTTCGCGCAAGTACATTCTCAAGAGCGAATCTGGATGTGAAAGCACTTGCCACGTACCATCCGATACGATCTCCCTGCTTCTTTGCGATGTGCCTACTCGAGCTAAGACGTGAGCTTGACAGGCAATACGATCGATAACCTGAATCTCATGGGTCAAGTTTACCACACGAGTGCAATTGATGCGGTGACGCTGGATACACGCAGACGCCAACCAACCAAGCAAGACCGGGACATGGTTCGCATCATGATTGAGTGACGATGATGTGGCTGATCTTCCCGACTGCGCGCCACGTCTTCCGCTCGTAAGTTGCGTCTCATTTGAACAAGTACGTGCCCACTAGACATGTCGTTGACAGAGCTCAACCTCGACGACCCAAAGGTCAAGCAACACGCACTGGCCGGTCTCGCCGCGACCATCCCCGTCGTCCCCTTCAAAGGTGTCGAGTTTTATGACATCGGGGGTCTACTGGCTAATCCAGAGAAGCTGCAGCTAACCTTTGAGCTCTTCGTGCACGCCCTGACGCCCCTAATGGACCACGTGGACGCTATTGGATGCATGGACGCGCGCGGCTTCCTCTTTGCCCCGTATCTAGGCGTGCACTTTCACAAGCCCGTTTTTATGCTGCGCAAACCCGACAAGATGCCGAGTGTGGGCCATACTGTCGAGTATGTCAAGGAGTACAAGGGCAACAGTAGCGGAGGCGGTGATCATTTGAGTATCCAGACGTACGCCGTCAAGAAGGGCGACCGAGTGCTGCTTGTTGACGACCTTCTGGCAACGGGCGGCACCTGCGAAGCTGCAATCCGCCTTGTCCAACAAGCAGGTGCCTCGGTCACAGCATGCACGTTTGTGGTGGAGATCAGTGGGCTAAACGGTCGAGGCCGTGCTAGCAAGACGAGCACGAACGAGCACATCCAACTCATCTCGCTGCTTACGGAGAAGGACTTTTAAGGACCACCGACAGCACAAGCCAGCACGTGTACAGTCATTACAAGAGCCTTACCACAGCTATCCGAAGAACAGTGATGTCAAGGGCCTGAACATTCCTTAGCACATGTTGTGCCACCTATCGGGCCGGTGCTAACAACACTGAGAAACCCGCCGCTTTCTTTCCATGTGCAGATGCTTCTTCATCGGTGACGCCGACAAATCCGTACGACCTCTCTCTCTCTCTATCACTTCGTATCCAGTCACACTAATGTCGTAAACGTCTCGGGCGTCTTATCATCCAGCTAAGCATCATGATGTGATGCAACAGTCTGTCTTGAAGTTGGGTCGCGACGCCCGACGTCATTCAATAAAGTGCCCACCCAACAGCACAAACTCAAGTCCCCCTTTGATCGTCATAAATGCTGTGCCGTCAGCCTGCTTTCGATGCCATTAGGGCCCCATGTCGTCGGGCATTGACACGTCGCTTTTTGTCGCACCACAAAGTGGTTGCAAATGCCGATGTCGCTGTTGAGGACATTTCGTCCGACTCCAAGCTGTACGAATGTCAATTGGTCACCTGTGCTTTGGCGTACACTTCTGACCCTTTGAGTGTCTCTTGTTCGTCTTGTTGGTGTTGACAGGATCGTAGGCGGCTTTGGACTCTGTGGAATTCCAGAGAATAGTATCCAAGCTTTGGTCAAGCACGTGAGTCCAAAGACTCTATCATCATCAGTATCTCCGACGATATGAAAGTGCTGTGAACCGCTCCTGATCAATGGTTGTGTGGTAGGGAGCTTCAGACTTGACCTGTGTGTCAAACAATGCAGGGGTAGACGATTTCGGCCTGGGGCTGCTGCTGCAAACACGCCAGGTACAGGGCAGGCAGGTACAAGATGCGTTAATGCCATCACTGCTAACTTGTAAGGAAATGACTGCTCACAGATCAAGCGGATGATCGCGTCCTACGTTGGGGAAAATGCGCTTTTCGAGAAACTTTATCTGACGGGAGAGCTTGAAGTGGAGCTCACGCCACAGGGCACCCTCGCTGAGCGCATTCGTGCAGGTGGTTCTGGGATCCCAGCCTTTTATACACCTACGGCATTCGGCACGATTATCCAGGTTGGTACCAGCTCTTTACGACGTCGATCGTCGACTTGTCTTGCTAACTCGTACGTAAATGCTTGTAGGAGGGAGGGTTCGCCATCAAATTGAACCCCGATGGCTCGGTCGACATTCCAAGTGCTCCGCGAGAAGTTCGCGTGTTCAATGGTCGCAATTTCGTGATGGAAGAAGGGATCACGGGTGACTTTGCGCTGGTCAAGGCGTGGAAAGGTGATACGGATGGAAATTTGGTGTTTCGAGGCACCGCGCGCAACTTTAACGTTGACGCAGCTAAGGCCGGACGAATTACGATTGCAGAAGTGGAGGAGCTGGTGCAGCCAGGAGACATCCATCCAGGTAGTAGCTCATTTTCGATTGTTCGTTGTGTCTGGCGTCCCTGACATAATTGGACTTGTGAAGACGAGGTTCATCTGCCGGGAATCTACGTGCAACGCATTTTTAAGGCCGACAAGACGGAGAAGCGAATCGAAAGACTTACACTCGCCAACGAAAAGGTGGCTGATAAGCGTTTCTCATGATGCGGTACTTGGTACTAGAGCTAAATGACAACCTGCTGTAGGAATCGCAATACAAGATCTCACCGGATCGCGAACGCATCATCCGCCGCGCAGCCAAAGAGTTAAAGGACGGAATGTACGTGAACTTAGGTATCGGGTTGCCAACGCTAGCGTCCAACTACGTTCCAGACGGCGTCAAGGTAATTTTGCAGAGTGAGAACGGATTGCTGGGCATGGGACCATACCCGAATGAAGGCAGGCAGGATCCGGATCTGATCAACGCTGGCAAGGAAACCGTAACGTTTCTGCCGGGTTCGTCCACCTTCTCGTCGTCAGAGTCATTCGCTATGATCCGTGGCGGTCATGTACATCTGACTATCCTTGGCGCCCTACAGGTCGCGGAGAACGGTGACCTGGCAAATTGGATTATTCCAGGCAAGATGGTCAAGGGAATGGGTGGCGCCATGGACCTCGTTGGTAGCGGCAACCGAGTTGTCGTTACGATGGAGCACAACGCGAAAGGAGGGGTCAAGAAGATCTTGAAAAGCTGTTCTTTGCCACTTACAGGCAAGAGCGTTGTGGACACCATCATTACGGAGCTTGGCGTGTTCAACGTAGTACCGGACAGGGGTCTCGTGCTAGTGGAAATCGCACCTACCACCACAGTCGAGGAGATCCGTGAGCGTACGGAAGCAGCATTCACCGTGGCTCACGACCTTAAGTCGATGGAGGAGGTGATCTGATCGTGGGGCTCAATTGTCGCTGTGTACGTTGGCAGTCCTAGTCAGTCCCCACCCGATTCAAGCTAAGAACTACCTTTCATGCGATGCAACCGCTTCTTCATCCAATATTGCTTCTCTTGTTGATCGTGTGCTACGTTTTCTGAAGGTGGTTCTCCGAGCCTTTAATGGACATAGCACTGGTGCTTGTAGGTACCTGACTAGCATGTTTGCAGCTGTAACCGGGACTGGTACGATCTGTGCGAAACGCCTTGCTGTCGAGCATAGCGTACAAGTATTGTCAGCCCAAATTACAGCAGCACCACCAAATCCAAAGGTTGCAGTCACCCTACACATCTGCGTCAGTGGCGATAAGGTGTAGACCAGAAGTAGTATCAACATCCATGTCATTCTCCACAGAGCTCGTCATAGAAATGCCGTGGCCTATCACCTATTCGACGACAATGTCGCTTCGTGTCATCTCGGTGACACGGTTGCAGTAAACGAACTCTCACCGAATATCCATTCGATTTGGGACGCACCTCTACCACGAAAGTAGCAGGCAAAAACACGTCGGTCCTCTCGTTCATGACTAACTTGATCTCGACCGATACGGCAAAACATATAATACTTACTGTAAATATGTCAATGTCAGCAACACCTTGTGCCTCTTCTTCGTGCGTCCCGCCACCCCGTCCTCAATTCACAACACTGATCATCGAGGAAGTCGACCATACAAGGTGGATCGGACAGATGCCGAGCTGCTTGGCCCAAACTTCCCTACCTGATTTTGATCCGAGGGGGTATGCGCGCTCAAAGTGAGAGGTGACTTCTGGTTGCTGGTGACAATTCAGCAACTTGTTGTGCACATTGAGCACCTCCCTCCATGTTGAATGGCGTGGCATTTGCAGCCGTGATCGTACTGTAGTAGTGGGTGCTGTTAAGTTACCAGCACGCAGCTGGGTGAATGCACGCATGCTGTATAGCGCCTTCGGATGACAACGACGACGCTGCCTGACCTACTGCGGCTACTGAGCTGGCATCATAAGCACCAACGGATCAACGAAAAAGATGCAATTGCTATGTTCTGTCTACGAGTCGTTGATTGTAATCGATGATGTTTCTAACAAGGTGAGATGCGATGGAGCTGCTCTCATATCGTCCTCACCGCCCAACGTCCCATCTTTCGAAGACTCGAAGCTTAGTGGTAGTGCAAAGGCTGATCCCTTGATAGTGTGTCAAACCGGTATTTGGTGCCAAGCATTACCACAGCAACGCCGACTACGTGCGTGAAAATTAGTGTGTCCTACAAGCCACAGCATTAGATGCCCAGAGTGAGATGTTCCTATCCGATACATGAAATGGACATTGCTAGCGGGTAGTGGGTATTGGTAGGACATTCAAACGGACGCTGCTTGCTAAACGGTGATTACTTGCCCAAATGAAGAAACGAGTTACAAGCGCGACTGTATGTGCAATCGAGCGAAATAATAACTTCACAATAAAGAAGAAAGATGTCATTCACGTCGAAGAAACACGACATCTCGTCGGAATAGTGTAGGAAGCGTACGGATGGTGCCGTCGGGGAAGAACCGAATATTGTCGTCAGGTGACGATGGGCACCGTTTTGATTGTTAAAATAAGGGAAACTCGATATGTGTTTGAGCCCTGCGCCTCGAAAGCATCCCTTGATGTAAGCAGAAATGCCAAATTGCTAACCATCAGGGCTAGTTCTACTCTACAGCATCCGAGGAATGACTGTATGTTGCAGACACTCCGGCTCAATCAGAACCAATCTTATGTACGATGACGCACCGGCCCTTCAGCTCATGGAACTGTTACCGCCAGTGTGTCGTGATGCTTCGACTTCACTATCAAAGATCGTAGTATTGGTATCTGGTGACTCACTCACCCTCGGATCAACCTGAAGCTGTTGGTATCAGCCACAAAAACGATCATGAAGAGAAGAATTAGACGGAGAGAAAGTCAACCTTTATGTCTGTCCGTGCAATAGGAAAACTCGGCTCATAGTTGGCCATCAATCACCTACATATTACAGATCCCTTTCGCTCTCCACGGCAATTCATTCAATCATCAAGGTGTCACCCCTCCTTCTGTAAACTCGAATCATCACATTCCAACTGTTGAGAAAAAATCGTAGAGCTATTTTTTTTCTTCTGGTCTTTTCCCATCTCAAACAGGGTGAACCGTAATCCACCTTCAGTCGCTTTCCATCCTGTCGTCTGCAGCAACACGAGTCTTTCGATAAGTATACGAACTACCTCGTGTCAGCTATTCCCATTCCGCGACTGTTTTGCAACTGGACTTCACCATTCGCGAAGTTGCCAAGTCCAAGAAAGGTGGTGTGAATTTTGTTGTTCTGTGCGATAGCTGGTGTCCGTGACAGTGTTTTCGCCGTGCGTATCGATCCGAATGAGTCGGTGGGTCAACTGAAGGTGGCAATCAAGGCGGCAAACTTCATGATGAGCCACTGCGAGCTTCGAAGCTGCGTCTCTGTGTGGCTAAAAGGAGAGGCACGTGGTAAAAGGAAGACCGCATCGAGCAGGATGTGAATGGCACGCTTGGTGTACAACGACTAGAAAGTGAAGCAGCGCCACTAAGGTTGAGTGGTTTATCAGAGGGAGACGTGGACACTCCAGTTGTAGAGGACGATGGTGCAGGTCGAAACCGTGAGCTTAAATTGCTGGGTAAGTCTTTTACCGCTACCATTGGAAATAGGTCGTGTGACCACACGCATCACGAATTAAATGGGGCTGGATGATCCACCATTGATTGCTTACTGGAACGCTCTTAGAACAGATACGGGCAAGGTTAAAGCTGATGCAGTGTGGGCACTGCTCGAGGGAACCTTTTAATTGGGGACCTGACACAGGGATCCCATGTATACACTCGTGAGTGCTTTTCACAGGATGGGATATTTGCCCGAAGACATCTGAAGGTATCTCGATCTTCGGCGATCCAGGGATTGGCAAGACATGCTTTGGCCACTTCATCTTGCTGCATCTTGCACGTCGTCGAAAGACGGTGGTTTACAAGGACGCGGATAGTTGCATGTTGTTCTCTGACCTAGGTGTGGTTCAAGGGTGGACGTCGGAATTTGATCGAGTCCTCAGCCAGCCTAGCACGTGGTAGATTACGCATAACGACGAATCGACCCATTATGGCAACGCGAAGACAATTATGTTCACGTCCAGACCACAGTGTGGTAGGGAATATAATTTGCCGTCGTTATGCATGCCCGCTTGGTCGGAGCAAGAGATCATGAGATGTCGTGAGCTGCTGTATTCGAATAATCCAGTGGCCGCCGTGAAGGATTGTTATAATCGTTGTTGGTAGGCGGTGTTCCAACGCTATGTAATTGCAATACGCTGAGGATTCGGAGCAACAGAAGTTGCTCGACAAGGCAATTGATGAGGTTCGTGTGTGGGATCTTACGAGAATCTGTACAGGGTTGAGCCAGATACCATGCGCAGGTGAAGACGTTATATCTGATCGGCTGTTTCATGATCAGGTCAACGACGACTTTACCAGCAAAGAGATCCACTTTTTCATCGTGTTGCGTGGTCGACAAAGTTTTCGAGGCGCTGATGACGCAGCACCGGGAGCAGCTCATGAAGTTTTCTGCTGGGGATATGGTTCCGGGCCGAAGTGGATCTGGATCCGGTGATGTTTCATCGCGTTTTGCTGCGTTCTTGTCGTAGCCAGGAGGTGGATACACGCAGATCGCGTACCATCGTTAGGACTGTAGTTCGTAGTTCGCTTGGTGTGACGTGGTTTGGCCATGGGAGTAGATGTATGCAGTCGATTTACGAGAACGTCGTCAGTTACATTCAATATTACTCCTCCTTTTACTTTTTTCTACGTTGTTTGATGCCTCGGTGCAAAGTTTGTTTAAAAACAGCTACGCACGGAACATTACCAGATGTGAAGAAATACTGGCTTACGGTGGAGCTCGTGTTGCCGAATCGAAAGGTAGAAGCAGCAACAGCGTGCAAAGAGCTATGAGAAGGATCTAGTGATAGCATCGTGCCGGGGACGCAATTAACATTCGGACACAAAGGGCATCATTTCTAAAGTAGATTGAGACAATGACAAACAATTATGGTGGACACAGTTCGGCAAATCTTCGCAAAGCTGTGATCTTTCTCGAAGTTCGGTTCAGTACATCGAAGGAATCGACCAGCATGGTCTCTTCTCCCAGTCTTGCGCACTAGTATCATATCCATCTACCACAACGTAGCAATCGCCTTCTTTAGTGTCACATGAAAAGCCGCTGCAGCAAGCGCGTATGATGTTCGACCGACTCGACGTCCTCAACTCAAGAATGAACTCCAGAGTTGAACCCAGTACCCGTCGCGTATGAAAGTCTGCGGTCAGCCACTTAGTCAACAGACTGCCGTGGGATCAAACAACGTCTCAGCACCCGTTGCGGTACCCTCGGCACTGGAGCACAAGAATGACGAAAGGTGCAACGACGTTCCCGTTACCGCCAAGCATCAACCTGACTAACGCCCTATTTGTGGCCCAATGATAACTGCGCCTGCTTTCGTTACAACGGCGCGAGTACTGATGTGCAGCCGTCGAACAGGGACTCAAGTTAGATAAGTGGTCGTGTGAACGATGCAGATCGTTGGTGACTGTGCGAGCACCGAGGATGGCGATGGTGCCGACGGTATTATCGTTGGCATGAAATGCTTCTGCTTCTTCATGCAGCTGCGTGAGTACGTCAACACAGGTTGCAATGTGACCGCATTCGCTCGCATCAGGTAGAGATCAGGTCGTTGTCTGCGGGATTGAGGTTTGGGAATCTGTAATGCGTCACAAGGAACTGCCCGCAGCGATTTCATGTGACCCGTGACGACCATGAACAGACTCTTGTGCTGCCGTGTAGCTGCGAAGCAATTTCATAACACGATTCTGAGAATGTAAATAAAAATGAGACAAGGAATCAGCTCTGGAGCTCGCCATTTGATGTAAATATGTCAGTCTGGAGAACTGAATGAAGCTCTGCATGTATGCGTACCCATTTCGGATGATTGGCGGCTAGGAATGGATTGTGCTGTGTGCGTTGAAGAATGAAAGTGCTGATGGATTAACCGTGAGGTATGGCTACTCGTTTAATGTTGTTTGTCTTTCAACGAGACGAATTTAAGGTCCGATTAACGGCGGATGATCTGCTTGGTAATGCAATCAACAACACTGAGCGGTAGTCAACATATTACTGATTGATGAAAATAAAAGCAAACTAAATTGACGGAGCTCCTACTGTTGTCGAGAGAGGTAGGTTCACTTTTGATTGACCAAGTACTACAGATGAAATACATTATACATTTACCGTTTGCCCAAGGCGTGAGACTTTTGGTGTCGAGCATTTGCTTGTTTGTCCATCGTTCGCGCTGAGTCACTTTTGAGCCGATCACGTGCGGGATTTGGTGCGTGTGTGAACACTTCACCCTGTCGCAAGTAGTGATCCACGAACATGTTGCATCTACCTAACATGAGATGACAGACTACATCGCACTTCGTACGATGTGTATGGTACACCTAGCGTCGTGCACACACACGTAGAAAGAAGGCTTTTGTAGCACGGCATCGACTTTGCGCTCACTCACTAATGTGTCATCCTTCGGGCTCGCAATAATTATCAGCGAAAAGGCAGACCTTGATTCCTCGACCCATACGACGTATACGCCATTAGAACGGAAAGAGACACAAGCACTTTGCACGTACTAACAGATCATTATAAAGAACGTGTATTTATTTATCAGGTGACTTCTAAAATTAAAGAAAACAGCAACAAACGGAGGAGATTGCTTAGAATTCGGTCGCCTGAGTAGACGTTGTGAATGTAGTCCGATTCAGCTCATCGAAAATGACCCGGTCAACGTGACTCCCGCTTGCGTTTCTTACTCTCGCGCTCCGATCCTTCGACGTGTGTCAACGCCTTCTTCAACATTTCCTCTGTCACTGTGCTTGGCTGGTCGTTTTTCTGCAATGCGTACAACAACAACATAAGATCTTTCGATCCCTCGTTTTTCGTTGCTGCGACGATATCTTTGGCTTGTTCTCCATGGCCATAGAATCTAGTTAATGTCTCGAACATCGTTTCCATGGCATCATCTCCATAGGCGAAGTACACGTATCCTGTCCAGAAAGAGAACATGTCTGTAGTCGGTAGCGAGGAAAGTGACGTACTGAAGCTGGATTGATCCTTGAACTGCCAATATTCCCGGTCGAGCTTGAGTTCCTTGAACACGTAAACGGATGAACGACCGTCGTAATCCCACAAAGCAAACAAATGAATCTGCATGCATTCTGCAAGGAGTCGCGAGACCTCAGTGCCGTGCTTCTTCAATGCGCTGATCGTCGATGCCACATTAAATGCACTATGTTTTTCGATCGACTTCTCTACTGCGCACCAAAGTTCTGGATATCGATCCGTGATAAACTCGAAAAGGATGACCTTATACAGCTTAAAAACGAAGTGCTTTTTTTTGCCGAGGGGCCATGCAGATAATCGCTCAGTGTATACGTTCGCTGGTTGTTCACGAAGCATCACCGTGGACAATCGCACATGCTCTGCAACTCCTTTTGCCTTCGAAAGAGATGTGGGTAGAATAATAGGCAGTGCTCTATTCGTTGGTGTACGGACGGACGCTGCAAGCAGCAAGAAAGCGAAGCAAAGACGACGCATCGATCACGTCCGAGCCAAAATGCGATATGAGCTTACGAAACGAGAGCGGTAGAGCTCCTACGTTAGAAGTGACTGTCACAGACCAGAAAGAGCGTGTGCGAAAAGTGGTGCCTTGTATCAGGCCCTGTATCAGGCCGACTTTCTGCTCGTACATGAGAAAGGCAAGCATAAAACTGAAAAGCGACACGTGTCATGCTGCATACACGGCATTTTTAAGACTAAATCTCATTATCGGTGCCACGAATGTCCAAAAGTCCCAAAACTAGTCCCATACTTTAATCAAGTCTAAATCTGATAGATAGATTTTGTTAATCACAGTATTGCGAGCCCGAAGGGTGAAGCTATGTGTGAGTGTGCACAAGGTTGAATACCAAACTTTTACGTTTGTACTTATCTGTGTGTGTCTATAAAGCATGTAGTTGGGTGTACCTTACATGTACTAAGTGCGGTCCAGCCAGTCCCCTCTTATGAGTCGATTAGCATGATGGGTGTCACTCTATGGCAAGGTCAACAATTAAGATGCACACACCTGATTGGCTTAAAATCGATCAAAGGTGAAAATGATCACACACGCAAATATTGGACGCTCATAAGCAAAGGCCGATTGCATTCCAGTGTAATTACATACATTAACAGCATCAAACTCATTCTTTAGTGTCATTCGTGGTACAGATTTTTGCAACTTTACTCAGTTCCTCGACTAAATTACTTATATCAAGGGGCAAGCTCCAGAGCACGCTCTGCGCATGATTGCTAGCGAGTCTTTACATTAGGTAGAAAATGGTCACACGAATTGTTGCGCACACTTCATTCAGTTCCTGTTGTGTTTGGTGCCGATGGAGATGTCCTAACGAATGTGTAATTTTTCCGTGAGTGTGTGACTTATGCTGCCAGCGCATGAGTAGCACAAGCTTTTTTAGCGTTCAATGGACTTTCTGAATACACCTGCGAAGCTTTAAGCGTTTGGTAATAATCTATGCGTGTAAGGGGCCACGCCTAGTTCAGTTGGCTGAATAAACCTTGCACTGTCAACAGTGCAAGGGTGTGTGCGTCCGATTACCTCACGTACACGTACGTGCAGAAGGAGATTGCTATACGGAGTAAAAGTACTCGGTAAAGGCGAAAAGTAGAACTTTATTTAGTGGAAGTAATCCGTTTGCTCAATCCTCATTTGACTTCATTTAACTATGACTAAATACAAACATGTAGTGTAACTATCCGCGCACCATCTCATTGCGTGCTTCTGTCGTGGCAAGACTTTACTGATTTATATCTCGATCCTGTATCAACCAATGAGCAGTGTGTTGTTACAATTGCAAGAAAATAGGATCGAGATATCAAACCAATGAAGTCTAGCCACGACGGAAGCACGCAGTGAGTGGTGAGCAGGTAGTCACTTTACACTTATGTGCTAAGATGTAGATAAAAGAAGAATGAATAGGATTTGTAGACAACAGAGTTAACTTTACCGAATACGGTCCTACTTAACCCTTTTCTCGTGTTAAAAACTTCCTTTGCACGATGCGTGTACGTGACGTTTCAAAGCACTTACTTACTCTGTAAACAGTATAAGTAGCTTATACTGTGACAGTACAAGCAATCAGTACCACGTTAAACGTGGTCGAAATTTTTATTCCGTTCCACGACTATGAACATTTTGGACGTTGAGGGGGGTGAATTTCATTTCACACATGAAAGATACTCCCATTTAAGTCAAATTGAATGGGATGCCGTCGAACGATTGAGTTAGAAGATAGGGCAAGAGGCCGTAAGCGCAATACTGTCCGCCCTAGGGCCATACGGGCAACACGTCACCAATTTCCAAGTTCATTCAGCATTAACCTGACGCTGAACGGAAAAGGTAGCCTTGCTACACCAACAAGTTTCTCGACAGACAGGTCTTTTGAGAGAACATAGTGCTCAACAGTTCGAACTATTGAGACAGCAGTAGTCCAGTGCTACCGGGTCGACGCGTGTACGTCGACCCGAATCACTGAAGATTGACATCTCTAAATTCAAGGCAGTCGAAAAATACTATCTGCTGATATGGTCTGTCGAACTGGCTGACGACATAAGGGCACTTCACATCGTCGATGAACAAATGCAGGTCGCATTTGCTTAATCGAACTTGGCAGGGCGTGCAAAGACTTGTGCCTTGGGCCTCAAACTATACGACCCATGTGTCTCTGGTTCGTTAAAAGTCTTCGAGTCCCTACTTAGAAAACATTTGGACCACCGCGAGTTGAGTTCAGGGCTCGCTCTGACTTCCTGAAAGCCACACGTGATGTACACTTGTAAATCTAGTACATGCGTCACCTTAACAGTTGCATACCAGTCGACCAATTGAATCAACAAACATTTATAACGTTGTTCATGTAGGGTCTGAATGATGTTCCCGTCAAGATGTACCAGTTCTGAATGTAATTCTATACCCTGGAAGAGGCATTCCACATGACGGAACAAAAATATCTCAGCGTGAAACAAGCTCACGTGAGTTTGCATTTCTATCGTCCCCCGAGGCGACAAGAAAGCGGAGGCCCAGAAACGATGGACCTCTGTTATGCTAAGAGTTAAAGCTCTCGTGTTAAATTCACCAAGAAAATTGCGGAGATGCAATAGATGTCAAAAGATAGGGCATTCTGCTCACGAATATAGTTCCCCGAACGCGGTACCACGTACCGCAGGAAGCAATAACTGTTAAGCGGTCAAGAAGGGTCCGAGGCATGGGTCCGACGCTGATGCAAAAACGCAGCTTGTAACGAACAGCCAAAAAATGGCAAGGGTTATTTAGTGCGGATCACCCTACTGATTTAGCAACGTTGAGTGAGTTTGCAGGACTATTAATATGAAAGTTGCTCCTAACAATCAATCATTGTGTGTGTTACTGTATTTGGTAATGAAAATTTACTCATTATCTTAAACTCGAAGTGACGGGAAACATGCAGATTCGAGCCCTGGTCGATTGGGGGCTCCAAACAACTTCGTACAACGCCAATCTCTAGACAAGGTCAAGCTTAAATTTATCGACCGAGATATTCCTTAAACGAGGACGGCGTTACGTCTCGTGACAGGCGCATCAATAACATTGATGAAACGCGTAGTGGGATTACACCATGCACCAAAATATTCACAAAATGATGATTTGATTGTGTTGGATTAAGATGAAAAATTTGATGTCATCCTTGGGTTACTCTGGCTTCGAAGGTACGAGCCAATGATCAGCTGGCAGCATCAATACGTTACGAGGCCTGCCACTTTTTTGTCAGATAGCCATCTGATAAACGTCTTGGAACGTCTAAGAGCGTGTGGATGTACTACGAGTGGGTGCGATGAGCTCAATTGTGGTACGGGCGCTAGTACGACTGCACAAGATCACAGAGTGACAATAAGTAACTTTGTAGAGGAAGCTCCAGCGGGTTTAAAGATGCACAGGAAGCGCCGAAGGTCTACCACTCGAATAAGTTGAGTAGACCGAGACATGGATGTACTCCTAGCGGCCCGACGTCCAAGGAAGATTAAACCATTTGTTTACGTGTGGCAACACGATGATCTTAGGTTGACTAGGGAGCTAACCGTGGAGGACCTGGTTGTGGTAGCACAACCACACCCGGAAGACTTGAATGGAATAGGCTCCGACTAACTTGAGTGTTAAACTCCTTAAAAAGGTATTGCTGGGATAATGCCTCAGCAAACTGATGTAGTAAGTCTCCATCAGCCCGGGAAGTATGTTACTAGGAAGAAAATGAGATATTGGATGTCTTGGTCAATGGCGGGTGAAGATTAAATTTCTATACATTTGATCTGATCGCGCTCCCAAAGGTTACTTTGGAGATCATTCAGCTGGTAACGCAAGAATTGATTTTGGTCTTGCGAGATCTGCGTACTGGCAAGGTCAAGAAGATCTATGTACTCTTCACAGAGGAAGATTATATGACCAATATATTTCGGCAGCCGTTTTCGCCAAAACCAACGTATTCTCAGCAGCTCATCGATGGACGAAAGTGTTATCGATGAGAAGAATGGGATTAAATGGTACACGTCTCAATCTTGGGAGTCACTTCCCGTTCGGTTAAGGATTTGATCGAATACAAGGATGAACCATACCACGAATGTTGCCTTAAAACAAAGGCATTCGATATGAAATTGAGCTCAAACCGGGCTCGAAGTGCTGTGTCATGACGCAGCAGCCACTGCCCGTGAACAAGTACTTGCGATCGACAAATTCTCTGGCGGTTGTTTAGCATCGGGCTAAGCGAGAAATTCAACCTCCCCACGTAGGTCTTTAATGTTTTGTGTGCGTAAGGCCACACTAGGATGGCTGATTATGCATCCAATAAACAAGTTTAATGCTGCAACGGTAACGGCGAAAACGCCGATAGTGAGGAACGACGTAGTCAAAGATAATGCAGCAAAGAGTATTATCTTTTTGCTCATGGATCTGGTGGATGGCTGCTTTCAGATCCTTATGCGTGAGCGAAATATCCCGCTTAGAGCAATCAGAACCCCCGGCGGTATGCTCTGGGAGAGACTGATTATGCTATAAGGAATTTGTAATACCCAGTTACGTTCAACAGATGCGTTACGAATCTGTTGGGATCGGTGAAGAATTTTGTACCGAGTAACTCTAGTGATGTATTCGCCCATAGCAGGGCTAGGGGTAGAAATCCGGACTTGGAAGTTCATAGGAGGGCGCACATTCGTCAGGTCGTCACACTTATGCGCAAAGAACGAAGAATACAAGACCTCTCACTTTGACGCGAGATTGCCGCGCAAGAAAATTACGGTTAATTCCGTGATGGCATGTGACCACGCTGCCACCCAAAACAGCGGTTCTCCAGTTAGTTTGGCGCGCAACCGACGTTCACTCGGGTCGTTCACGTTTAAGAAAGTTTCAGCCGCTGGCGTCTATACCGACGACTGCTCAAGAGGATGATAGCACGTCGTTTAATTAACTAGATAACAACAACGTGATAAACGAGTGGTAAGAACAGACTTTCGAGTGATAAGATTAGACTTTCGAGTGGTACCAATCTTATTCAGTGGGGCGCGATTCAGTGCAAAAGAAAGATCTTTGCTTCCAGCAAAAAAGCGCTATACCGGATTAAAGCAACATCTTTCCGTTATGGAACTGGGCGCAACGACGTGTCGCCTCGTGTCTCCAGTTGGGGTGTGTTGATGACATATTTTCCCCGGACAGTAATGTCTTCTGAATTTTCCCTAGTGCGAAAAGGCATTAAACTCATCTATTATCGTTGCGGAAGTGTCTCGTCATTTTTTATGAGGCAGACCTACACACTTGATTGTTTAAATTGTAGCTTCCCGGATTACCGGCAGTAGCTTGAGACGCGATTTAGGCCGTTTTTGGACCGGTTAAAGATGGGTCTAACGCAAAGGATACTGTTTTTCCTGCCGCGTGCGAGCTGCAAAGTCTTGTCAATGCGTCGACGCTGCAAGCCGTCTGGATAAAGAGGCTACGAAGCATTGAGCACTGCAATTTTGAACGACACTCACACCACCAGGGCACGAGCTAACCTACGACGAGCGATTATACGCATACATCGACCAATTTTCCAGCCCGACGAAGGAGATGAGGGACGACATATTGCAACAATGCGATCCGCTCTTGCAGACAATCTACTTCGGTATAATGTATTTCCTCCACTATGTCCTTCGCAGGGTGACGACCACGCTGGAATTTTTTACCTACCTTTCTTTGACGGTGCATCTTGCGGAAATTCCAGGTCCGGAGGATATGGATCTGTCATTACCAAGGTTAATAGTCCTACGCACGCTGCTAGCGTCCTATGGGTAGCGAGCATGGCGTAGGATCACACATCGAATATTAGTAACATATCTGGATATCGGGGCCTTGTGCACAGTCTTCATCAGGAGTCGGCATGCGGTTACTCCCTGCTGTGTAGTCGGGTATAGCTCTTTAGTGATATCCCAGCTCCAAACCTATCGCTCACCACGCAAGCATCACAATGCACTACTGCACCGTAAGGCACGTGCTTGTGCCGGTGCTATCGGCGTCGTCAGCTGGGGTCATCACTACCGCGACTACATCAAGATGGCTGACTACGTGGCAAATAAAGTTATATATACGTGCGCTTCCGTTCCGGTGAGTGCACTGTCGGACCGCAGGGAGAGTACGGAAATTGCGGTCTATCTCGAGAACATCGTTAGCCACTGGCAAAAGACCTCACTAAAAGAAACGACCGATCTGAGACGACCCGCTATGGCTGCCAAAGGGCGCACTCTTACCCGCCAACAACTCGAGCAGCGCATAATAGATGCTCAAAGTTATTACAGTACGTAAGATTATCAGCTGATATCTGCACGGTAAAACTACTTATTGTCAGACAGGACCTAGTTGGTCGCTCGTGTACCCAGATATGCTTCACTGTCTAACTCACTTCATTTTGTCAGCTTCTATGACTTTCGTTTGTCCGCCGACACAGCATAGCTCGCAGTTTGCGTACTCTATGCATGAATGTGGAAAGGTCGATTTGTTTATTAGTTTCTTTTCTACTCTTTGCAAACTGTTTTTGGCCGCGTGATGCTGTACCTCAGTTACCGATGACGGATAGTTCAGGTCTCGGGTTGACACGTATGACACATGGCTCGTCATTAGAAGATGACATCGTTCTGGAGGTTGAGTCAAACTTGGATGAAGAAAGATCTTGCGTTCCGGTTACTAAGAAGAAGAATATCGACAAAGGCGACGATTTTGACGTGGAAGACGTGTTGCTGATTGCACATGCATTTGCTGTTAGACGTATGTGCACTTGTGCAGTAGAAGTAAGAAGTAAAAGTAAAATGAATTGAGTGTTAAGAACTACCTCCTTCAACACTACGATATGTATGACCAGAAACGGTATTTGCAACTTGACCATGTTAAGTCACAAATGGTGTCCGTCTCTTCCTGTCCCATGTGACATCCTGTCACTTGGCTTCCGTCTCTCACAGTCCCATCTGTCGATCTTCCCGTCGTGGTCCCAAATGTCACGTCGCACGGTAATCAACCAATTAAATGACACCGTTCTATGGTATAGCACTTGAACCTTGAAACCTGTCAAACACGATAGTTTCTAACACTCCTCCTCGGTGTTAGCCTGTGTGGCCTCCAACTTGAGCATGGACCTTAATTCCTCCATCCTTGGTGCCGGCAACGACTTCGTCCAAATGTCTGCTAGCATATCCTTAGATCGCACAAACCTTGACACCACAGTCCCTTTCTGTGCGCGATGGCATATAAATTTGTGACGTATGTCCACGTGTTTTTTTTGGCGCTCGAGGTGCTCTTCTCTGACTAGAGTTGCTTGATCGCCGCTTGGTTGTCAATCCACATCGGCATGGGCTCACGTACGCGTAGCTTCAATTCACTCAGTAGTTCTCTCATACCAAGCAGCTCCCGACCAGCTTGCGACGCTGAGATAAACTCAACCTCCATCGTGCTCAGCGGTACGCCCGATTTCTTCTTGCACAGCCACAGAACCACTGCGCCATCCACAGTTAGTACACATCCTGATATTGACTTACGGTCAACCTTGCTCGCAGCGAAATCGGCATCGCTCCAGCATTCGACCTGCACATCCTCTGACACATGTCCAGCACCATCCAGGTGCAGCTTTAAATTTTTGGACATCTTCAGGTATCGCATGATGCGCTTCGCGGTCTTCCAATCCTTGAGTGTCGGCTTGTGAGTCTGTCTTGTTGTCTTATGCACTGCAAAACAAATGTCTGGGCGTGTGCATCTTGCAATCCATAGCAGGTTTCCCACCACTGACTGAAAGGACTTCACACTGGGGTCACCCTTCGCTCCTCTTGCTGGTAGGTACTCAGCGTCCTCTTCGTCGTCCATGTTGCACTCGTCTCAGATAGGGGTGCAAACCCCATTGCACGACTCTATCCCGAAGTTTCTTAACAGCAAGTCGATAGTCGGTTCTTGATCCAGAACATAGCCGTTCGAGTTGTCGAGCTCAATTCGTAGCCCGAGGAACTTGTTTACAACCTCCAAATCCTTGATCGATAGTGAGGCCATGTCTTTTAAGAAGTCGTCCACAGCGCCCTGTTCGGTGCCCGTGACCAACAGATCGTCCACGTAGACACCGACCACCGTGCATGTCTTGCCCTTATACTTGAAATATAGGCACATGTTCGTGGTTATTGCTGATACCCGCTTTGTCGTAGCTTGGAGTCACGTATTTTGCTCCACAGCTGCCCATCCTATTTAAGTCCATATAACGACTTCTTCAACAGCAACGCTAGGTCATTTGGAGTCTTTGCGTTCAGGTCCTTCATCTCTTTCTTCTTCACTTTCATCCCCTTCGGCACCTTCATGTAAATATTCAGGTGCTCCTGTTTTCAGCCTTGACGTATGCATTGGGTACATCACCGTGGCGCGCCGGTACCTTTCAGCGTCTCGAAAGCACCAAGATCAGCTATACCGTTTTCAAGTTCATGACCGCTGCGAACGTGAGGGTGTAGTCCACTCCGAACACTTGTTCGTTTCCACAAGCCACCAAACGAGCTTTGTACCGCTCGATGTCCCCGTTTGCGTCGGTCTTTGTCTTGTAGACTCATTTGTTGTGTAGAATATGTGCATTTCCTGGTGGCACAACGATCTCCCAGACGTCATTTGCCTTGAGTGCGTCCAGTTCTTCGGTCATGGTCACTTGCCATTGGTTGCGATGTTTACTCTTCATCGCCTCACCAAAGTGTTTCGGATCTTGCTCGATGAATGCATTCACCACGTCGCAACTGTCAACCGAGATATCGGCTTTGGCTATTTTTGTTTGACTCAACGTTGTGGACCTTGTGCCATGACGCTCTCTGGTACATGTCTGCTTTCGACCCTTCTTTCCGTCCTTCACACCATTTCGACGATCTCGTGCACCCGCTCGACTGGCTCCTCCTGACGTTGTACCGGGTCAAAAAAATCTCTCTTCCATCTTGATCATCCTGTGGTGCTTCGATGCTTTGAACGTGTTGGGTCACCACGACCACCTTATCCACTGGGATGTACACTTTGTATCCCTTCGTTTCGCTCCCTCGCTCAATGATGATGTCCGCCTTCCCTCGCTCACCGAGTGATTTGTTTGTTGGGTCTCTGTGTACAGTGCATGTCGATTCAAAAATCACGATTTCTGTCAGTACGGGGATCTTGCTCGTCAGAATTTCCAGGGGCGATGCACCTTTAAAGTTGGACTTGGTCTTACTTCGGTTCAGTATGTACGAAGCGTACTCTGCAGCATCACCCCAAAACGTGAGTGGTAGTTTTGATGCAAAGATCATGCTCCGCACCATGTTCATGATGGTGCTATACATACGTTCAGCCTTGCCGTTGCTCGCTTGATTCCTCACCTCACTTACTTATCGCGATATGCCTTCCGATGAGCAAAAAAATGTCAAGCGTCTTATAACCGCCACCTCCGTCGGTGCGTAAGACATGAATCTTGCAATTGAACTCGCGCTCGAAGCTCACTATAAACATCTTGAACTTCAACGCGACTGCATTTCTCGTTTTGGCCAAGAGTACTCGACAATAATTTGATCGGTGGTCAATGAAATTAATCACATACCGATTTCCCAAACGATCTCGGGGGGTCTTGGGACCCTTGAGATCCGAACAAATGACACCCGTATCACGTCTATAGGTGAATTCATGCCTGTGTCTCTCTTCGACTGAACTCTCTTGGTCTGCTTTCCCTTGTCACAATCCAGACACTTTTGACGTATTAAATCCGTCAATCGTATACCAGATTTCGGGTCTTTGGCCATCTTGACATTTGTGTCGAAACAAAGATGTCCTAGGCGCCGATGAAATTCCATCAAGGTACCACACTGAACGTCCGAGACATATTCATGTCCAGGTGGATTAATGACAGTCATCATTGTTTCCCGTGGTGGCTTGGGATTACGATCGCTGCGCTTCGTCACAGCGACAACCAAGACGTTGTTACGACATTACACATCATTATGGGCGTTCCGCCTATACCAGATGACAACACACGTCTTCCTCCTCGATATTCTAGCACGCAACCTTCGGCCTCAAGCAATCCGAATGAAGGGATGTTACGCTCGAGGTTCTCCGCGTACTACAAATTGAGGAGTATCACTGTGTTCACGAATCCAAGTGCAACAACTTGGATGTCCACGGTCCCTTGCAGGGTGATCCGCAGTACGCTGCCATCTGTGGCGGCCGTCATGCACTCACTTCGACAATGTATGGGGTCGGTGAGCAGAATCGGATCATTGACCAAGTGTCTGCTCGAACCACTGTCGAGAATCCATTGACCACGCGAGCGATTTGGACCATGACCAAATGTGAAAACAAAGTTCGCACCTGAGGACTTCTTCTTCAATTGCGGGCACCGCGACCGAACATGTCCCACTTCTCCACATTTGAAGCAAGTCCGGGAATCGGTCCGTGGGGGTGATGATCTTATTTGGGCTTGTCCTTTAATTCCTTCTCAGGCTCGACAGCGTTCACCACGTCGCGACCAAAATTCTTCGAGTGAGTGTCTACCTCTGTCGATTGAGCAAATTGTGCCAACTTTTCTGCTTGCCGCAGGTAGTCAGTGCGATGAATGTCCAATCTGGACAACATCGTCGTTCGCATGTGCGGGTCAGCATAGTGAACGACGTTGTCAAGCACAAGACTGTCTGCGCCCCCACAGGCATCACTGACGGCCGTCAAGTATAGAAAATGGTCCGTTCAGTTTCGATGAGATGCCTTGGGTGCCGTGAACAGCTTCATGCTCTGTGCCGGTGAGATCTTCGTCGTGAAGGTCTGTAATAGCCTCTGCATCGCGTGCTCGAGGGTTTGAATCTCATCCCAACATGTTTCCACCTGACGAAGATAGTGGGTTTGTGCTTTTACAGCTAGATGCTGGCCTAGGACATCAACCTTGATGTCCTCCGGCCACACAAAGCCACATGGACGTTCCGCAAATTCGACTTGTCGAACAAATTCCTTTTCCCACTCCATGAATCCACAACCAAGGCCGTGGTAGAGCTCCTTTTCATCGAAAGGTTGCAACGCGAGTTTCCGTTGCTGTGCTTCTGGCATGTCGATTCTCGGATGCCCTAGGTGCACATATCCTCGGTTGGGGATGCCCATGCCATGATGGTATCCCGCAGGCAAACCCGACCTGTATGCGACGGGGTAGGGTGCCTGACCCACGTTGACTGCTGGTCCTGCGTATCCTGCAGGAGGTATCTCAGCACCTGTCTATTGTTGTCGTCGGACGCAGAAGTAGGTGGCTGGCGACACATTCGAAGGTTCCTTAGGAGGGGTATGCTCCAGGGTCCGGAATTTCAACCCTGCCCCGACCTCCCTCTCGCGACTGGCGACACTCGACTCGGGTGAGTCCTCCCAACGCTTGTTGGTTTGCTCTCTCTGGAAGACGTCGATCCGATTCATTCTTTCCGAGAGGTCCCCAAGCATAACCAGCATTTGGTTTATTGCCGCCAACGGCGCTGCCGACTTTCTTTCTAAATGGTCGTCGCCGTTCTTGACTTGGTCATCGACCACCACGACGTGTGCAGCTCGTTTATCCGCACCGTCGTCACGTTTAGTTGGGCGCATAACCTGTTAGACGTAGGTGCACTTGTGCAGTAGAAGTAAGAAGTAAAAGTAAAATGAATTGAGTGTTAAGAACTACCTCCTTCAACACTACGATATGTATGACCAGAAACGGTATTTGCAACTTGACCATGTTAAGTCACAAATGGTGTCCGTCTCTTCCTGTCCCATGTGACATCCTGTCACTTGGCTTCCGTCTCTCACAGTCCCATCTTTCGATCTTCCCGTCGTGGTCCCAAATGTCACGTCGCACGGTAATTAACCAATTAGGTGACACCGTTCCATGGTATAGCACTTGAACCTTGAAACCTGTCAATCATGATAGTTTTTAACATTTGTGAGATGCTGGCGTCTTCACGCGTTGCGCTCGCTTTGGGGAAAATTGTCGCTGATGATGGCTCGTTCTCCACCGGACGTTGCGTTGACATCGTGTACGCCCGGTTGATCAACTGCACTTAACCCCACCACAACATCAATCATTTTTATTAAAAAAACATTGTTGCGAATCAACACTACATTTAACAGGATGTAGATCTGAATCACGAAACGTTACTTTTCCAAAACGGGTTTCGGACTCGTATCGACTTGCTGGATGTGTTGGTGACTACAAGTCATGACAGTGGTGCTATGCTGGCATAAGCAAACACATGGAAAATGAATCTTAAGAGTTGTGAGGTTGAGCATTTGTCGCCGTTTGACCCTGTTCTGATTCAACACGAATGTGCTGATGTTGAATATGGGCTCAGTTCGGTTACCGTGCCTACAAGCGCACACAAAGCTCATCTCTGCACGCAGCATTGGTGGAGTGTCTGACGACGTTTCGGATCGTTTTTGTTCTGGCGAAAAGAAATTAGAAGTGACTACATTGGCGCCATGGTGAATGGACTCAGCAGGGTTTGTCGTACGTGAGGTTCATAGAAGAAAGTAGGCTTGACGGCGAATCCATCGAGCAAAGTAAGACCGTACTTTTACAGGATCATTTCTATAGTACCTTCTTTTCTACTTGACTTTCCTAGTAGACAACCTCCTGAACTTTTCGTCCGGCTCGACGCCAACGCGTGGATGCGCCTCTGGTTGCCCGACTGGGAACTCCGGGAGCGCTCGTCGTCGACCGAAAGCGAGGCCTCCACGGCCAGCTACTCAAGCCTCGCCAGCGACGCGTCCTTCTATGACGCGTCGTCGGGCAAAGAGGCCGGGCTGGCCGAAACGGGTGGCCACGACACCGCCACGCGCCGGTCGGCTCCTCCGCTCGCGTTCGCGTCGCCCCCCGCGCGCCACTTCTCTCCACTGCCGTCTTCGTCCCCGCTCTTCTCCTCGGCTCAGGATGCGATTGTTTGGATACCCGGCAGGGCGGGCGTTACGCTGCCTGACCGGGTATCACCAGAAGCCGCTCAAGGACGTCAGGGCGCCTGGCTTTCGCCACCGGCCGCACGGGCCACGCCGGCGCCTATCCGGCTTGTAGACGACGTCCAAGACCTTCGTCCGTTTGCTGTGCCACCCGGCAGGGCGTGCCGCATGCTGCCTGTCGAGGTGGCGCCTGGACTCGTGCCCGACTCTTAGAGCGTTGGCCCCCCGGGCACTCAGACGCCTTGCCCAGGTCCGAGTGACTTCCACACGCCGCGTCAAGACCCCGGACTGTCTTCTCCGTGCGCCGATGGCCCCCCGATCGAAGATGCGAATGATTTGGTACCCGGCAGGGAGGGCGGCATGCTGCCCGACCGGTTACCACCAGAAGACAATGAAGACCACAACGCCGACTCTCAGAGCGACCACTCCCTGGGTGCTGACAGGCTACACCCGGGTCCAGCCGACACTGCACCGACCTCCGCTGCCCTCCCGCCTGCCCCACCAGCCCCTGCCCCACCAGCCCCTGCCAAGGCTCCCGACGAAGACTTGCTTGCTTCCCAACCCGGCAGGGCGGCAGGCATGCTTTCCGCGGGGTACGCGCTTGTAGCCGCTACGGCTCGCGCCCTGGGCGTCACGCACGACACCAGCGACCCTGCGGACAGCAGCAGCAGCAGCGATGGGGAGGGCTCGAGTAACGAGGCAATTGCTTTCACTGTTGACGAAGACTGTCCAAGTGATGACGACCGGCTTTGTCTGGCGGCTACGGAGCTGCCCGGCCAAGCTGGATACACTGCAGTGGCCGCGGCTACACCCATGCCAGCGTCCCTGCAGCATCTTTCTCTGTCCCACTATTACAGCTCTGTGCCAACCGACTCGGCGGTCCGGCATGCATGCAGCCCGACCGAGTCGGGTTTGATGAACCCACGTCCCTTGTGGACACTGCCCTGTCCAGTGCCGCTGTCCTGGACATGGTCAAAGACGACTGCCAGCGCGCCGTCACCCACGACGTACCGGGTCCACTCCACGAATATGTCCAGCCCGAAACAGGGCGACCGGACCCGGTACTATCAGTGTACGCCCATAACGCGCCCGCATTCCCTTGCACGCTGTGTGGGCACACTGCATGTGACATGAGCGCGCTGTCGAGTCACAGACGGACCTCCCACCGTGGCACCTGCTTCGTGGACCACTTCCACAGCGGGTGCCCGTGTGGCATCGAACACAGGACTCGTGCAGCTGCTACGAAGCATGCTATGGAGTGTCGGGACAGCCCGTCCTACATCCCTTCGGCTGCACGTGCTCCCCCGGGTCCGTCTCCGGTCCACTTTCGTTCTCGTTCTCGTTCCGTGTGGTCTGTTCCGGAGGACGAGGTGACCCCCGAACATACCGGGTCCCTCGTCCTGGCTCCTTCCGTGGGTACAGCAGTTGCATCAAGCAGCACTGTGCCCACAGATGCGACCACATCCCAGAGCACCGTGACTGCTCCCGTGGACCAAGCCGGGCACCTGCATGTCCCCCCCGTGCGGTGCCCTTCGCCACCGCAGCCGCATGTTCGGGTGGCGGGGAAGCGGCGCCGTTTAAACGAAGCTGCTGACCTGCCTGCTTCTCCTGACTGGGACATGGACCAAGGAACCTCTGTGCTTGGAACCCCTGCTTGGCCCCCAGTTGAGGCAAACGAGGACCTGACTTTGGATCATGTGCTGGATGATGACATTTCCGAATTTCTTGTGGATATTCGTGGTTCTACTCTGGATGCAGCTGACCCTTCGCTCACGGAGGATGCTGCTGTCTTCGGTCGACTCGGGACGGGTGAGGCACCAACATCAGCCCCGGCATCGCCCCGACCTCTGACTTCTGTCGCGTTCAGCTCCCGTGCTACGCGGTGGGGGCCACGTCACGGCGCGATCGGGTCTTCTGGGGCTGTCCCGCCTGCCGCTGATGTCCCGGCTTGTCCTGCTCCTACTTCTCGGGTGGCTGTTTCGGCTGCGCCCCGACGAACCATGACTCGTTGGGGCCCCCGACTCGTAGTGACGCTACCCATCACTGGGCGACGTACTCGCACTCGACGGCCATCCTCCAGCGTACCTGATTCTCCTTTGGTAGACCGCACCGCGCCTACTACGGCAGTTCCACCTGCTGATTCGCCGATAGCTCCGCCACCATCACTGTCAGTGGTGGAGCCTACTGACCACCCAGCGGTTCCAGAGCACTGGCTACTACGTTTTGACGGGGCTTGTCGTCGGAACCCTGGTGCTGGTGGCGCTGGTGCGGTGGTAACAGACGCGTCTAGTACTGTGGTTTGGACGTGCTCCCACTTCCTGCCTGCCCGCGGTGAAACCAACAACACCGCGGAGTACTCTGCTCTATTGATAGGGCTGCAGGGGGCACTGTTCCACGGTGCCAAGAGGCTAAAGATTGAAGGAGACAGCAACTTGGTGCTCGCCCAGGTGCGGGGCTCATTTACTTGCTCCAACCGGCGGCTCCGGCGGTTGCGAGGTCGGGTTCGCTGCGAGTTGGGCCGCCTGGATTGGTACCAGCTCAGTCACATCGACCGGCAAGCTAACGCTCACGCTGACAGACTGGCTAACCGTTCCCTTGACCTCCGCCGTACCGCGTTGGAGTGTGGGCCCCACTCTGATGACCTCTCCGCTTGTTTCACGCCTGTTTCCTCTCCGCCTTCCAGCCCATCCCCGGCTGGGCCAGTCACAGATGGTCCTCCCGATGCGGATACTGATGGCTGTGTGGATGACGAGGCCATGGACGTAGAAGCCGAGATCGCTGCTCGCGATGGGGGTGAAGTTTTCCCGACTATTCTCATTGGTCCGGGTTCTACTCCAGCGCGACAACCTCGGCTCCGTCTCCGTCACTTGAGCGAGGAGGAGCAGGATATTGCTGCTGCTGCGGTACAGCACTTTGCGGATGTCATGGCGAGCAAGATTACGGATGCGGACAGTTGTATATCTGGTGAGGGATACATCTCGGCCATCCCAGACCGGCTTCGTGAAGTGCTGCTGCCATTCTCGGTGTCACCAATGGGTACTTCAAGCTCGAGAGACAACTGTCCTCGCCAACGCCCACCTCGCGTGACGCGTACGCAGCGCGAACATCGGTTGGATGAGGCCCTTGATGACATGCAAGCGACGCAACAGGCGGTACCGAGTGACCGTCGCGCGGTCCGGAAGTCTCGCCGCCGCGTGGGTAGAATACGAGCGTCTATGGCTCAACTCGAGTTGCGTCGCCGCTTTGCGCAAGACGAAGCCAAGTGTGTTTCCTCTATCCTCGATGGTGCCTCTGCCGAATCTGCGGGTGTCGAGCACCCCGATACATGTCCTATTGGACGGGAGGAGCTTCACGAGCACTTCGTCGGCACGAGTTCCGCTCCTACCGCTTTTGATTACGATGCTGACTGCGGACAGGAATTCCGGGATGTTCTTAATGGGTTCCCACGGACGCTTCTGGGTGATGATTGCTTTTCCGAGGCTTTTTCGATGGACGAAGTGGAGGACCAGCTGTTGAGGGTAACTAAAACGTCCAGCCCCGGGCACGATGGGGTTGGCTATGATGTTTACAACCAGTTTGCCCCGCAGTTGGTACCCCTTCTGCATGCCGCTTACCGATTCTGCTGGCTACATCGGATGGTACCTCGACTCTGGAAG